ATTAAAAGATGAGAGAATTTAAAATTATATATAATAAATATGTATATATTATAATTTATTTATTAGCTATTTAAATATTATATGTAATCAATATCTTTGCCAAACGCAGGAGTTGAAAACATGCTATTGGCAGGAGTGAAGCAATGGGATGACATGAATGGACCTTGAGCACATTATGCTAAATGAGATAAGTCAAACAGAGACAGACAAGTACTACATATAATTTATATGTGGAGTGTAAAAAAAGTCAAACTTGTAAAAAAGATAGAGTAAAATGGTGGCTACTAGGAAATCAGGGGTGGAAGGTTAAAATTGATGTTGTTTAAGGGTATAAACATGCAATGAGTACTAAATAAGCCATTCTCATCTAATGTGCTAGAGTAAAAATGGTGGCTACTAGGGGACGAGGGGTGGAAGGTTAAAATTGATGTTTAAAGGTATAAACATGCAATGAGTATTAAATAAGCCATTCTCATCTAATGTGAAGTATAATAAATATAGACAACAATATTGTAACCTTATTATATAACGTGATGAATGGCAATCATAATATAATATATAAATTTATCAAAGTAACACATTGTACACCTAAATTTACACAATGTTATATGTCAAATGTATTCAATAAAAAAGGACTGGATAACACACACACACACACACACACACACACACACGGAAGCAAATGGGTGAGTAAAATGATGTTAATGTCATAGTATCGAGTGTGAGAGTGTTTCCTATAGCAGATCAGCTTTGGTTAAATTGTCAACGCAGGAATTAGATTTCTAGGACAGTTACAGTGTCTTTTCATAGGATTTGCCAACCACTTCAGGGTAATGATGGTGGTATTATTTGAAGTTGCAGACTGGATGTCTGCCTTTTGATGTATTTGGGTGAGTAGTTGAACCAAGGGAGGTTGGGTGCTTAAAAGAAAAGCAAAGAATTCTTGGTTAAACTGAAGATTTCATTTGAGAACCAAAAACCTGAATGAATAGTCTTTTTGATGTTGAGGCATGTATTTTCTCTGAAAAGTATGCATCTTTTATAACAAAATCTTATTGGAGTTTATATTATTGAGAATAAACTGAGATAAATATGTGGAAGTGTTATTCACTGTCACACAGTATCAAAAATCTAAAGACTTGCAGCAGATTTAAAATTTCAACTCATTATAACTATTTAAAAGATTGTAAACTTATCAAAATGCAAATAAGTTAAGTTTTAAAATACTGTATGACAGGTAGATTTATCTGAATTCTCAGGCATAATTATGGCAGTGAAGGTCTGACTCTTTAACATGATCAAATTCAATAAAAAGAATGGCTCAAAAACATTTGAAAGTCTATGGTAGAAGTGCCAGTAGAGAGAGCAACACTGAACATACAGGAATGGCAGTTCAAGACAGCCCCATCACAGCGGAGGCAGGTAGGGCTCCATCAAGAACATGGTGGTCACTGACCTTGGGGAAGAGCAGGGATGGCTTTCCCAGGGACTGGAAGAAAGGGGCTGATGGAGTATGTGGCCCTTGCTTTTGTTTGCCTAGCATCTCTTCTGCATGCTTTTGGCAACAGTCCCCAATTTGTGTTTTGGGACCCACTTATATCAATCCCATGTGGTCTTGGTAGAAGTTCCTCTAAATTAGAGGAGTGGGAATATGACCTAAGAGAAGCCAATCAGATTCCGTTTATGTCTTTATGTCAGGAATTTGAAACGTCAGTGAAGAAACATAAGAAGGAAATGACTGGAGCTGAATCATTGTGATGGCAGTGGCTCAGAGAAGGCTGCCCTGAGTTCATCTGGTTTATGCTCTTCCCAAGACCTGCCTCCTTAGCTTTTCCTTAAGTTCTGTGAGCTCTGCAGTATCTTTCCCAAAAATTGTGTTTTGTTTGACTTTGCCAATTAAATTCTGTTGTGTGCAAATAAAGAGCTGCATGAGATATACAGGTGAGACACAGAAACATTACAAGTATGAACTAACAAGGTGAAGTCTGTTCTCTCTGGTGGAGGCAATGGATAGTTTGAACAATGTGACGTTATCAAAGGAAGCTGATCAAGGATAAGTAAAAAATTAAAGGTTAAGTTAAAGTCCTGCTAATCAGTGCTGAGGGTCCAGCTAAGTTTGTAGACTATGAATATGTAGTGATTTCCTTCAGGAACCTAGGTGCAGGAAAAGAGAAAGAACATAGTTGGACTAATCCAAAGTTAGGAGCTAGCTTGAAAGAAAAATAGGAAAATGGAATTACTATTGTCAAAAGAACAATCTAAAATGTACCCAGGAGTCCTCTAGGAAGCTAACACACCCCTCCATGTGAAACTGAACTTTTGAACCGGGCCAAACCTCAAATGGCTACATCCTGATACAGTTCCTGTGACTTGCTCTGCATCACTGAACTCTATATTAAAAGAAATAAATCTTTCACCTAGCAATAGACATAAGCAATCAATCATGTATTGCACAGTGTAAGTCTGTTTGCCAGCACCAATCACAGCTCTTTCAAAACAACTTCCTTTTGGAAGTCTCCCCTCCCCTTTTCTGTCTTTATAAACTCTGTCTCTTTCTTTCCCCATTGGACACAGTTGAATTTCTACTCAAATCTGTGTCTTGAATTGCAATTCCTAAAGATCCCCCAGTAAAGCTTTTGTTTGCCTTGTAGTTCTTGGTCAAAATTGATTGACATTACAATCAAAGAATGTGTCAGAAACATAATGTGTGGATATTAAGGGCTGTCAAGAGAAGTTGAAGGGTAATATCATGGGCTCTAGGCAGAACAGGCAAGGAAATAAAGGGAAAAGGGGGTTAAAGGGGCACTGAGGGACTTAGGCTTGGGTTAGTTGAGAACAGACTAGGGCGTGAAAGAGAGAGAGAGAGAGAGAGAGAGAGAGAGAGAGAGAGAGAGAGAGAGAGAGAGAGATCTGAAAGTTTAAGAGGTTGCTTTATTACATCCAGATTTAGAAGCCAGAAAGTTTCAGGTTATAAGGTCCAGGGTGTGGCTAAGCAAGAGGCTTTGAGAACTGGGATGTAGATTAAGGTTATTAAGGCACATTGAGGCAGGCTCATCCACATGGCCACCGAAGCTGCCTGTGATGATATCAGGTGAGATGCAAGTTTGCTAATTGGCTCACCTCAATTTTACCAGCCAAATTCTAAAGGTTTCTCTTTCTTCCTTCCTTTTTCTTTCTTTCTTTCTTTCTTTCTTTCTTTCTTTCTTTCTTTCTTTCTTTCTTTCTTTCTCTCTTTCTTTCTTTCTTTCTTTCAAATATTAATGACTGGGGTAATGGCTAGGACTTTGGTAGATGACAAAGTTCCCTTAAGAAATGAAAACTAGCTATGGTGTAACATAGTGGCTAACTGTGTGGGATCTGGCTCTGATTCTTTACTGGTTTTCTAACCCTGAGTAAATTATCACAAGTAAGTTATCTTCCCTATGCCTCGGTTTTCTCAACTATAACATGGGGATAAAAGTACTTACCTCATAAGGTCATTGTGAGAATTAAATACATATAAAGTGTTTGGTAAACACTGAGAACTTCATAAATGTTAGCTATTATTATGAAGGGGAGACAGATATATAAATAAATTATAATACAATGTAATACTTTATGATGAATATGTTTACAAACATATTGGCAATAACTCAGGGGGCACTTAAATCATACTTAGGATGATCAGGGAAGTCATCACTGATGTGATAGACGTGAAAAGAAAATCTAAGTTGGACAAATAAAGGGCATAGGAGAAGTAGTAAGATCTGTGTTTTTTAAATTAATTTTTCAATTTTAGTTGACATTATATTAATTTCAGGTATACGACACAGTGATGAGACACTTATATACCTTATGAAGTGATCACCATGGTATGTCTAGTACTCATCTGTCACCAAGCATAGCTATTACGATATTATTGACTATATTCCCTATGCTGTACATTACATCCCCATGACTTATTTTATAATTGGAAATTTATACTTAATCCCCTTCACCTTTTTCACCCAACCCTCCAACCCCCTCCCATATGGCAACCATCAGTGTGTTCTCTGTATCTATGCGTTTGTTCATTTGTTTTTTTAGATCCCACATATGTGAAATCATACAGTATTTGTCTTTGTATGACTTAATCCACTTAGCATAATACCCTCTAGGTCCATCCCTGTTGTCGCAAATGGCAAGGTTTCATTCTTTTCTATGGCTGAGTAATTTTGTTTAATGCTCACTGTATGGCAGGCACAATGCAATCCCTTGCACAAATATCACATTTAATAACATGTCCCTGCAAGACATATATCCTCCCTTTACTGAGGAAGAAAGCTCACAGTTAAAATACTTGCCCTTGGGTACACAAGAATGGAAAGTAATTGGGATCTGTATTTGAAAAGTAAGTTGGTTTGTCACAAGAGGGACTCAGCAGAGGGAAGGAACTTCAAGGAAGTGTGAGATAGAATAGCCAGATCACTGAGCACTAGTGGGGAGCTGGGAGAGTTGAGGATGGATTCATAAGCAGGGATCATAGCAGAAGTCTGGACTTGAATATCAGTCCGTTGCGCAGGGAGTAAAAGATTTGAAGCAGGACCTACGCAGTGAGTTGAAACCCAGCATGCCATTGATTGCCAGATAGGTCAGTCATTGTCCATTTACTGAGCGCCTGTGTGCAGACGCCCGGAAAGGAAGCGGACTCGCAGCAGGGAACAGGAGCAGCAAGGGAAGGCTGCCCCCATCTCCCGACGTCTAAAGCCCCGAGGCTGGTTGTTTCCCTCTTAAAACGCAAGGGGCTGGCAGCGCGCTACAGGGCTGAACACCTGCCGCCACCTGCGCCTTCCAGATGAAAGGCATCCCGAGCCATCCCAGCCCTTCAGCGCCCCCTGGCGTCAGCACCCCTCCTTCCTCCAGGTTCCCTGCCGCTGCCCAGCTGCAAGCCTCCGGTCTCACCTCCAATTTGCATCCCTCAGCTTCCTTCCAGATGCGCCACGCATCCGGTCACGTGCGAGCCAGGTCACGTGCGACATAGTCACGTGAGGGCAGGTCACGTGCGGGGCCCGCGGGGCTAGGGGCTCGGCTTCTGGAGATCTGCGGGCCTGAGCGGGTGTGGTCCTCGCAGTCCGCAGGTCCGCCGAAGTGCACGGCCGGGATGGTGAGGACGGCAGGCCGGGGTAGGGCCGGACCGAGGCGGCTGCCTCTCGGAAGCTCAGCCCCTCTTTCTCGTCCTTGTTGTAGATGAACCAGGCGATTCCAGACCAGGAGCGGGCGCCGGCGTCTGAGTCAGTGTGGGAGCGGCCCTGGTCTTTGGAGGAGATCCGCCGGAGCAGCCAGAGCTGGTCGCTGGCAGCCGACGCGGGCGTGAGCGGCGGGTCCCCGGGACAGAACGGGAGGGGAGGGAAGCGGGGCGCTTAGGGTGACGCGCGGCCTGCGAGCGGGGGGAACTGGAGCCCGATTCTCTAACCCGGCCGTCCCGCTGCCATCTGCCTTAATAACGCCCTCGAAGACTACACCGTGGCAGAGCCCAGGCACTAGGGAGCGGGGCGGGCCCTTCGTGTCCCACGCGGGCTGCGGCCCAGACACGGGTCCTCTTCCTGAGGAGGCAGATCGCTGGCCCGCGCGCCGCGGTATTGCTGTGGCACTAGGGAGGCGGTTCCATGACGGTCCCTGGACTGAGTGGGGCGGTGGATAAGCCAGTATGTGGTCACCCTGGAGTGGAGTTTTTCAGGCCGGTGGTCTCCAAGAAGCTCAGAACTGTGATTCTAAAGTTGCATATGAATAGGATTCTTAAAAAAGGGGTTTGTTGTTTTACCCTTTGTGATCCTTGTAGAATGACAACCAAACAGGACTTTAATGTTCCTCCAGACACGAGATAGCAAGTGTCCATTGACTCCTTGTAACTGTTTTGATGAGCTTTCAAAAATTTTCAGGGCCACTTGGTCTTAGCACTGACAAGAGCAGCATCCTATGTACATTCCAGCACACACATACAAAGGTGAAAGGGATGGGTTCTTTTTTGTTTTGACACAAAGAATGGATGCATATAATATTGATACTACTGTATATTTATTTTTTAAATAGCTACTGCAGTTTCTACAGGAATTCTCACAGCAGACTATCTCTAGGACGCATGAAATCAAGAAACAAGTGGACGGACTAATTCGTGAAACTAAAGCCACAGATTGTCGCCTACATAATGTCTTCAATGACTTTCTTATGCTGTCTAATACCCAGTTCATTGAGAATGTGAGTTACTTAGTTACATCAGACTTATAAATAATGCTTTTTTGAGGAGCAAAAGTCATTGTGATATTAAATGATCTATTATTAGTTTCCCTCCTAAATTTTGATGGAAGTGGTGGTTCTTGGTAATTAATTGAAGCTTCTTTCTGTAGGATTAATGCCTTTTTTAAAAAGTTAAAATTTACTCAGATTCTAGTCTTTCCATCCCTTTTTAATTTTGAGAGTAGTCAGCAGTTGTGGTGAATTGCATGGCCCTCAAAGAAGCCTTGTTATGAAATATTCTGTGGAGAGAGCCATGCTCTTGGTCTGATGCTCTGGACCACCAGTATGTGGCTGCAGTCATTGCTTGTGTCCATTTTGTTCTGATACATTGTATTAAAGACATCTATGTATCCACTTGGAATATTCTCAACGTTTTGTTATGATGGCTGAACCTATGATAGAAAATCAACTCTATAAACAGATTACTGTGCTGTAACCCATGTTTGATTTTATCTACATATTTATTGAATTTCTGTTAAGTGCTGGGTCCTAGAAATACATAGGTAAATTAGGTAGAGCTTCTTACAAAAGATCAGAATTTTCTATTCCAGAATAGAAAGGAAGCAAGTCTGGCTGGAGCCCAGTGATTGAAGGGGAATCTATGAAGAGATGAGGGTGGAAAGGAAGCTTAGTTAAACTGATCTGTGTTTCTCATAGGGTAGCTAGCTTCCTGAATGTCATCATTAATTAATCTGAGAAGAGAGAATTAACGAAGCAGGCTGTTTCCTAAGATTGTTAGATGTAATAGAAAAGATTTTGAAAATTGCAGGATTATAAAAAGCCAAAGATTCTGGATTCTTAAGTGAAGACCAAATATTGTCATGCAGGTATCTTATGCAGTATGTTTGTGTGTTTTTCAGTAGTTCAGGTTGAAATACCACCACTAGGTTTTTTTTTGGCAGGGGGAAGGGAGCTATGGGTAAAAATCTTAATAAAGATCATACAGGTCTCTTTGCCTTTAAGTTGAAACTATAACAAGTATTCTGGTAAAATCTGTAGTCATATTCTGGTTGGCTACAGAATGTCCATGCTTGGTCTTGAGCATCTTTCTCATTGGAAGAGGTGGTTTACAGGACTCTCATCTCTCTACTTTACCGGCTCCATCACTTTTTCATCAAGCTGAATCTGGAGTCCTTTTAAATATACTAGTTGCTTTTGTTCTGTTGTCAGTGTTAGGCAGCTCTAGATGGGACAAGGAATAAAGTTGGGAGGCTTCTTTTGTGCCTGATGTGCCCATACCACATTGGTACTGGAATGGAACTGGATTGATACTTTGGGGGGTAGGGGACATCATAAACTACTTCTGAATCATGGTCTTCAGACCTTCTCATCAGCTCTTTTTTTTGGGGTACAAGTTTTCTTAGATCTGAGTTTTCCATGATCTAGTCTTTGTGGGGTTTTTGTTTTTGTTGATTTTTTTGGGTAATAGTTCTTTGTTTCTGTTCATTTCTTGGATTCCCTGTTTTATCCATCCATATCTCCATCCCCTTAGTCCTTTATGCCTCTTCCTATTCCTGTCTGCATCCAGAATTCCCCTCTGGGTGTATCTGTTGCCACTGCCAAATTTAACTACTTCCCAGACCTTCCTATAATGCCACATGTTCTTTCCATTCATGGCAGAGCATGATGATATTGAGAGTATGGCTAAAACTCTGATAATATATTTGGCAGTGATTTAGCTCTTTATGTGCTTCCTTCAAACCCTGACACTGGTACTCATGTATTACAGTTATAGCTTGAATGATGGTGCCATTTGGTTTCATGGTAATTTATCAGGAAAATACTCAAAGTGAGGTAGGTTTCTGTGTTTCAGTGATTAACCTCAGAGGCAGCTTCAAGTTTGCAAACTGCATTATAGAATTAGTGAAACGGAAGAGCAATTAGGACTTTCTAGGACAAGAGAAATTAGTACCTTTAGGAAACGCTCCAGAGGGGCCTCTGAAGGAGGAGAAATACTAATTAACAGTGCTTCAGAGTGTTATCAGAAGGGAACACAGTTCTTAAAACTTCATTAATCTGTTAATTTAGGAATCTTATCCTGAAACCTTAAGTGACCTAGTTAATGACTTTTTTAGCAGCACTTCCCACAATTATACTTTTACACTTATTGATATGATTTGATGCAGTGAATGCCCCCACTAAATGAAGCCCCATTTTTTGCTAAATGTTTATTCCTTGGGCCCAGCTCAAGCTTGATATATAGGGACTCAGTGAATATTTGAATGAATGAATGAGTGGACACATACATGAAAAGGACCAGGGCTGTGTATAATCTGTTAAGAAATCCCCTGCCCCCTTTTTCTCCAAATCCCTACCTTCACCTTTTACCATGTCTCCCCAAATGAGGAAAAGATGCTTTGAGCGGAAATACCCAAAATTTTAAAAAATTTTGAGTGTGGCTTCCTGATCTGAAAATGATCAAAAAAACCCATGAAGGGCCGGCCGAGTGGCGCGATGGTTAAGAACTGGCTTGGGACGCCAGAGGGCCCTGGTTCGGATCCCACATATGAGGGCCAGTGACACTGCCCTCTACAGCTAAGATGCTGAACAACAGCTCAACCTGGAGCTGGGCTGCCGTGAGAGTCGCCGGCGACGGCGTAGGCTGCAGCCCCTGTGGCAGTGGGTTGCCATGGGCTACTGTGTGTGGCCAGCAGCCACAGTGAGCGGCCGTCCAGAAGCCGGCGACTGATCTGCCTCGCCCGGGAAGAGTGCAATGATGGTGCCAACTTGGGCCAGTGAAGCAACGTCCTCCACAACTGGACTGAAGAACAAAAGGACAGCAACTTGTCTGTTCCCCTTCCCCCAATTCCCCACCGCTGTTCCCATCCCCCAAATTCCCCCCCCCCAAAAAAAATCTTAAAAAAAAACACCCATGAAGCTGTGAGCTCAGCCTTGTGAGGGTGAAGGAAGTTAGTGTTGCTTATTCTCTGTGTACTGAGTACTTGAGATGCACAGTCCTGTTCACTGTTAAAAGACCCGTGGGTTTTATGTATTTGCTGGTTGGCTTCTTAGATGTCATGTTTGACTTTTGATCTGCAGGCTGTTGCTGTCTTGTGAGGTAGTTTTTAATGACAAGCAAGAGAAAAAGTAGGATGTTGGTACTGTTCAGAGTTCAGCATGAAACTCAGCCTTTTAGGTTACATGGTCTTGATATTTAAATTCTGAGTTAACTTGGGTAGCTGCCATGTCTTAAAGTCTCAATTTTAAGAATTACTTTTTTGTTCCTGTGTTTGAAAATTACAAGCATGTTTTACATTGGGAGTTTATAAGACAATAAATACTTTAAAATAACAGGAAATCACACTGAGTTGCTGGAATGATAGCTGTATTTTGGAAAAGAGAGGCCTGCCTTTCCATGCCCATGGGTCCGTCAAATGCCTGTCCTTCTGGCAAATCATTGGTCGGCATGACCTGTTTTCATATAAATAGGAAATAAAAATTTACTAACCATTTTAAGTAACAGAATGTAAATAACTTTTACCTTTTCTATTGCTCAAAATATTAAAGTCCTTATTACCTAGTAGATAAGGTCTACTTATCTAAAAGTTGACATTTTTAGTAGCATCACATTTGAGTTACCTGTATCATTGCCCCGTCAACATTAAATATTAGGTTAAACAAAAAGGTGTGAAAACTGGTATCCGACTATTTTTGTGACTCTTTAGTTAACAATGAGGTTGAACTTCTTTTCATGTTTCTCAGTCATTTGTATCTTTTTTTCCCCCCTTAATTTAATTTTTGGTGAATTGACTATTGTTATCTCCTTTTTATTTTCTAACTAGTGGCTTCAGCCATTTGTCAAATAATCATTTCTTACTTGTCTATGTCATTTTTAATTTTATGTTCTTACATTGTGACTTATTCCAAATGATGTTCTGACCATTTAAAAATGAATTTGCTTCCATATTTAGCGTGTGTATGATGAAGAGGTGGAGGAGCCAGTTCTCAAGGCTGTGACAGAAAAAACAGAACAGGTACTTGCATGAAATCACTCTTCTGTTGAGTTGCTGACCTAGAGATGAAAAGTGGAGGTTTGTAATGTGGCTGATGGGGGTGGGGAGATATTGGAGGACATGGGGAAGGCTGCTCCTGACAGCCCAATAGTTGAACTCTTTTTGTTTCTGAAATTTAGTATATTAAGAAATATATAGTAAAGATCCTGAATTCTGGCTTAAGGATAGAGCACAGTTCAGCAGAGCTTCTCTGTAAAGGGCCAATTAGTAAATATTTTAGGTTTTGCTGGCCTCATTGGTCTCTTTCTTTTTTTTTTTTTAGCTGAGCCATCCTGCCACCTGTTGGCAGCTCAGTGGCAGCTCAGCTCAGGCCAAGACTCGAACTGCTGTTGCTCAGAGCTTGCACTCTTGAGCGAGCTCTTAACCAAGTGAGCCATGCGGCTGGCCCTGGTCTCTTTCTTTTTCTTCTCTTCCTCTTCCCTTCTCTTTCCCCCTCTCTTAAAAATATGAAATCCGTTCTTACTTTGAGGGCTATCCAGGAACAGGCCAGGGGCTGGGCTGTAGTTTGAGTTCTTTGAAGACTTTCTCTGTCTTTTCATGACTGCTTTGATCCTCATCCCTGCCAGTTAAAAACGACAGTAAAAAGGATGCTGGATTAGTCCACACACATTTGAGTGCCTCCTGCATGCCACAGGATGTGTTGGTACAAAGGAATCAGACTGTGCAGTAAGCATTTATGGGCTCTAGGAAGGTTGCAGGGAGCTGGTGACTTGTAACCTCAAGAGGTTACAGTCTTGGTTGGGACAACAGGATGCAGCGTGTCAGAGTTGCATGGCTGCTCACTGTTTTGGAAGTTCAGACAAGAAAGAGCTCAGGGGTAAGATAGCAGAGAAAGGCTCCAGGATGAGGTGTTAACTGGGTGAGGAAAGAAGGGCCAGATTGTAAGGCCATTTCAGCAAGAGAGAATTCTGTGAGCTCTGGTTCCAAGTTGGGGGATGTTCTTGGTGTTTTCTGGATTCTGTTAGTGCAAAATACTGGAGGTAAGGCAAGAGGGAGGTAAAGGGGTGAGGGACAGATGCTGGAGGGCTTCAGAATTGGGCCGAGGAGCTGAGAGGCAGCAGTCCTATCCCCCCTGTCCCCGTTCCCGCTCCCCATGGCTTAATGGATTCTTCCTGGGTTCTCACATCATAAGCCAAAGCACAGTTAAAAGGTTCTTAACTTTCTAGCACTCTTGCAGAAGGTGTACCCTTTTCCTCCCACTCAGGAAAGCACAGTGGAACATGGGGACGTTTATTACGAGAGTAGCCTTGAATCAGCTCTAATTTATTCAGAAGTATAAATCACTTGAAAAAGTTGGTACTTTATCAGTAACTATTACTTGTCACATATGAAGCTGTCAGACTAGGAAATGATATTAGAAACCAGCTACAGTTCTCCCTATTTCCAGCCTTTATTAATACAAAGAAGTTTTAATAGTACTATTTTTAATAGTACTCCAGGATTTGCTAACCATTTAAGTCCAGTAGTATCCGGTTACACAAAGTCAGGGTTCAATTTTAAAGTACAAGTATTTAGTGAACTGTTTTTAAAAAGCCACTGTATATTTATTTCACAAACTTATTTTCACACAGTACAGTGTTAGCTATTTAACTAGAACCAAGCATACCGGAGTGGAAAAAAGATGCAGCCAAAACAAAAAAAGCTCAATTAGAAAGACTCTCATACTTGACATAAAAGTGTAAGATGTTCATAAGGTTTTCCCTTTTGGCCCTCAAAATGCTGTATGGTTTGGTTCTTTCTATAAGTATATATCAACTTCTACAATATTTGTGAAGAGGAGAAATGACACAATGTTTTTTTCAATATTTCTGACAACTGATGACACAGTTGAGTGTATGAAGGGACTGTCATTGAGAGCTGCTGTTGTAGGAAATGGAGAATATTTTCAGCAGGTTGGTGATCTGCACAGACTTCTGGGCGAGTGGGGGGAAGGGAGGATTGTTCTGGGGTGATAAATGGGATAGATTAGAGATGAAACTGACCCTCTCTTGGTTTGAAACAAATTTATAAAATAACTAATTGTCCAGTTGTTTTTGAATTGTAGTTGAAACATGACATCTCTGGCTGGAGTATTTTCTTCTAAGTCTTTATTCCTAAAATTGTCCAAAGGACCATTAACTAAGATTAATGGGATATAGTTATGGTGAAGCTAAAAGTCTAGGCTTTTAATTCCTCCAGCAGCAGGGAAGCGAAGTGCCATTTGAGGGCTTGTGATGTGCCATTAATTGTTAGTGTATTTTTAGCCAAGTTGTCTGGATGAACCATCACACAGTAGTGCTTTTGTTTCATAGATGATGAAAGCTGGAGTTCTGGGACCTTAGGTACTTTGATCCATGTCCTGAAAGTGACAAACTTGGGATTTAACTTAACTCCCAAGTCTAACTCCAAAGTCTGTGTCGAGGAAGAATCTGACTTTTATTAACATTTTTTATTAAGACTTTTTTGGAGCTTAAGTCCAGGCCTTAAGGAACCTTCGCAGTGTTTTATTACAATGGTATCAATATATTGGCGATCCACGCTGAACAGTATTTTTTTGTAGGAGAAGACTCGGGAACAGAAAGAAGTAGACCTGATTCCTAAAGTTCAGGAGGCCGTGAACTATGGTTTACAAGTGTTGGACAGTGCATTTGAGCAACTAGATATAAAAGCAGGAAACTCCGACTCTGAAGAAGATGATGCTAATGAACGGGTGGAGCTGATTCTCGAACCAAAGGTAAAGACATTCAATTCAGGTATTTATTGTTACACCTATTGTGTTTTGGATATTATACTTGGGCACAGAATTAGTAAGATAGGACTTTGCTTCTAGAAAGTGAACATATCACTTAGCAGTCTCATGTTTACTCCATCAGAAAGACCTGCTGTCCATGTACGTTGATGGAGCACTTACTGGGCACAAGGCAGCATACCCAGTTAGGGCAGTACGGAGTTAGGGCAGGGTTCCTACTCTTGCGATGCTTATGACCTCATTACTAGACAGTGGGAGAGGGGAGACATTGCTATGAGTCACTGTCATAAGTGCTCTGAGAGAAAACTGACTTCTAGCTGGGGAAATTAGGGTAAAGATGAGGCTTGAATTGGGTTTTGAAGGATGAGAAGGCTCATGAGAGGTATAGGTTGTTGGGAACCTGAATTCTGGAGTTTGTGTTAAGGGGGACTAGAAGTGTTGAAAGACATTTGGGTTGTTTCCAGGTTTTGGCTATTATGAAGAAAGCCACTATGCTCGTTCATGAATAGACTATTAGCCCAAGAGGTATTTATTGCGTTACTGTTAACTTTCTCTCAGATTGCTAATGGGGACAGTTAGGACAACACAGAATCACTCAGAAGTAAACACAAAAGGCTGCTATATTGCTTTGGAGAGAGTCCTTGTGATGCGCAGGTGCCTTAGGAATTCAAACATGCCACAAACCCAGACTCTTCTAGTCATTTATTTAGCTGCACATTTCTCTTCCAGTTTGAGCTTACAGTGTCATACTGGTTGGGGCTGATCCTTTAGCACTGGGACACTTGCAGTAGGAATTTAGAAGTCTGCAGTGGACCCTGGGCCACACTTGTGACTCCAAGTCACACACCACTTTCTCTTTTACAGGAGCACTTGGAAGGGCCTTCTGAGTTACTGAGCAGTCAGCCCAATTACCACTTCCTTTTCTTTGCATTAAATTGGTTGCTATTGTATCTTTAACCTTTACATTAACCTTCCCAAACGTTATGTTGTGTGAAGCATAGACTTATTCTCCCTCGTCCCCCAGAGTCTTATTTGATAATATAGATAATATCTCTATATTATGGCCAAAGGGTCATGCCTTGCAGAGGACAAGTCAGCTTTTCCTCGGCAGTGGAAATAGGAGGTTGTCCTAGTTGGGGAGTGCTTTCTTGTCCTTAAATTTTTATTTATTTATTTATTTATTTATTTATTTATTTATTTATTTATTTTTTAAAGATTTTTATTGGGGAATTCGGGTAAGGGGAACAGACAAGTTGCTGTCCTTTCGTTCTTCAGTCTAGTTGTGGAGGACGTTGCCTCACTGGCCCAAGTTGGCACCATCATTGCGCTCTTCCCGGGAGAGGCAGATCAGTCGCCAGCTTCTGGACGGCTGCTCAGGGCGGCTCCTGGCCGCTCATGCTGGCTGCTGGCCACACACGGTAGCCCATGGCAACCCACTGCAGCAGGGACTGCAGTCTGTGCCGTCGCCGGCGACTCACGACAGCCCAGCTCCAGGTTGAGCTGTTGTTCAGCATCTTAGCTGTAGAGGGCAGTGTCACTGGCCCTCATATGTGGGATCCCAACCAGGGCCCTCTGGCGTCCCAAGCCAGCTCTTAACCAACGCGCCACTTGGCCGCCCCCAGCCAGCTTTTAACCAACTCACCACTCGGCTGGCCCACTTCTCCTTAAATTTTTAATGTGTGTGATGGGTGGGACTTAGGAGTAGGGACTGAAATGCAAGGGTCTCCAACAGGTGTTATCCTGTGCAGCCTCCTTCATCTCATCCCATGTTTTATCATCTGGTCTTCTTTTGCCAACTTCACTTCTCTAAATTATACAGTGTGAGCCTCTCAGGGGATATTATTATTTTCTGAGTTACTTTTTCTCCCAGATAGGTTCTCCTCAGCCTTTTAGACATCACGTTCATGATGTTGACTATAGATATTCACACAGATGACTGTAGATATCTTGCCTGTGCTTCCTGGGGTCTGTTTAGCCTTCTGCTTTGCCCTGATGCTGTGTGAAGGATCCCTTGATGCTTTCTGTGCTGTGCTTGTGACTTTTGGCCATGCCTTTTCCTCCAAGCCTCCACATTCCCGCCTGCCTCCTCACAGTTATAGAAAACCATTTGGGTTATTTCCTCAGTGTGCTTCTCTCCAAAGTTAGAACTACAACTGAGGAATCTCAGGACTGATAGGTTGAGTGGTTGACTTTTGCTCACCGATGCAGCTTTTTAGGTGAGGAAGGGGGCTTAGGAGTCATCATAGCTCGCCCGAGTTCCTGGTTCTTTTCTAGGTCCTTCTTCTGTTGAAGTTGTGCTGTGAAGTGCCCCATGTGGCTATGAACTTGTGCGCCTTTCCCTTTTGATTACTGCTGGTAAATGGTTTGCAGGCTTTTGCCACTTTTGTTAATATAGTTAGGCTCTTACGAAAGGAGAGTCTGTGTGATTCAGCTTCACTTTGCCATCTTTATCTAGGATTTGCTTTTTTTAAATCAGTGATTTTTTTTGTACATTTAATTGTGCTGTGTTTCTTAGTGTCTACTTTTATTTTGTAACTTGTTTGGGGTAGTCAGATGAAACAAGTTATCAAATGGAAAGCTTAATTTTAACTTTTCTACCTAAATTTTTAATGGCTGATTCCCTTTCATGTTTTATAGGATCTATACATTGATCGTCCTTTACCTTATTTGATTGGGTCAAAGCTGTTCATGGAGCAGGAAGATGTAGGTCTTGGAGAGCTGTCTAGTGAAGGTACTCTTTTGAACCAAATATTTTTGTTACTTTTAACGTTCATATCTTTTTAGTTTGAATTAATTTCAAACTTTATATTAATGTTGTAAGAGTAGTACCAAGAACTCCCACAAACCCTTCACCCAGGCTTACCGATTGTTAACATTTCACCACATTTGATTTATCTTTCTCTCTCTCTCTTTGTATATATACACATAATATTTTTTTCTGAACCTATTTGAAAGTCATCAAGCAGGCATCATGCCCAATTACTCCTAAATATTTCTGTGAATTTCTTCTGTATCTTCTAAGAATAAGGATATTCTCTTATATAACCACAGTATAATTGTCAAAGTCAGGAAATTTTACTGGACATAATATTATTGGCTAATCCTTAGTCATACTCAAATTTTGCCAGTTGTCTCAATAACATCCTTTACACTCTCTTTTTCTTCTGGTCTAGGATGCAGTTCAGGATCACTCGGTGCATTTAGTTGTCCCCCCATAAAAGCTTTTCTTTGCTTTTCACAACTGTGACATCTTTGAAGATGTCAGTTTTTTCCTTTGTAATTAATAAATTTGTAATTAGTGTCTTGTGGGGAGATACTTTGAGGCTATCTAAATATTTTATTCCTCACTATAGTAAAGTTGCTTTTAATTCCAGTTCATGGTATATTAGATAGTTTTATCAAAATCTCTCTGATGCTGATATGTGGTGATTTATGATTTTGAGAAGGAGCTAAGCACATTTTCTTATGAATATTGGTGATAATCCTAATCTTTCTTCTAAACAGAAGGGTCAGTGGGCAGTGATCGTGGTAGCATTGTGGACAGCGAAGAAGAGAACGAAGAGGTAAGGGCTGCGTAGTGTGTCCACGTCATGATGGGCTGGCAACTTAGGGTGTGTTTAGCAGGCAAAGTAAATAACTTATCTGTGAGTTCAGTCTGTTTTCAGACGTCTTTTAACAGTGATAGAAGCCATATTCTCAAGTTTTCTCATTGGGATTAGATTTCCTTTTTGTCTTGCGTACAAGAACAAGGAAAACTACTTTAAGCCCTTTCACCATTTCCCTTCCTTCTACCTCCCCAGTAAATCCCCTTTTTACCAATATATTTTGAGGGGCACAGTGTAGATATTTTGGTGGAATCTCTGCCTGAGATAGTCTTTGAGTAATTTCTATCTTTGAATAATCCTAGGAAAAAAGTCCACATTTGAAACTTATTATAAAACCTCCTAGAGCAGAAGATTGTTCAAAGTATCCACTTATGTCTAGCTTTGTTGCTGCCTCTAGCATCTTCCTATCCCCAGAATATAACCTGACTCCTGCTCTGGGGTCTCCAAGTCTGTGGACCTTGACCACTGTTATACCTGGATTTGTCTCTTGAGACAGAATATTCGTCATTACAAAGGGCAGAGACACTTAATACTAGTTCTGCATGTGGATTTCTAAAAGACAATGTTGTATGCATATACTTTTCTCTTTTTGCACAGTTCCCCTCCCCTACTCCTTTTTTCAGTCAGCCCTCCAAACAAAACACCAATGTAGGAAATAAGCTTTTCTTAAATAACCTCGCTGTGACTGATGATCATTAGCTGAATCCTTTGCTTTTAGCCATTAATGCAACTCTTGACATAATTGCTGGTGGCAGTTACTGGTGTTTCCTTCTTAGGCCTGATGAAGTATTATCCTATTTAGAGGGAGTATAGCAAGTGGAGTCCAAAAATGTAAAAATCACACAAACCAACTTTGGATAATTTAGTTAATTAAATGTGCAACTCTTGCTTTAAGCCCAAAGGTTAGAGATGATAGTGCAGATAGATATGAACAAATTGTTAGACATGTTTCAATTAACCGCAAAAGTCACCTGTTCACTGGCACAGCCCTTGGCGATATTGCCAGCCATCTACCTCACCTGCCTGATACTTCAGGTGCCTGGTGGTGATCAGTACAGAGACTGAGGACTGCGTGTCGACTAGCTCCAAAGACTAGCCCCCAAATCATTTCTGTGCTTCTTAGTGAAGCCTGTTTTAACAACAAAGCCTTTTTTTTTCCTTGACAGGAGTCAGATGGAGATTTTGCCAATCATACAGACAATGATCAAAATCGGGTAAGGCTCGTGCACTGAAGTGACTTTACTTTTAAATGTTAATTGAAGCATAGCATATATACTAAATACATACTAAAATTACTCTTGATTGACTTAGGAGAAAATAAGGATTTATTCATCTTTACAACTAATTTTCCTCCAGGTATTTCCTGTTTTTAGGCTAACTACCCCCCTTGTATATTTTTTTCAATTTTACTTTATATTTTGTCTTTATTTTTCTTAGAAAACAAAGAAGTAAAAATCAAAATTGGGAAACAGAGCCTCTAAAAGAAGGCCCAGTTACCCAAACTGAACTAGTATTTTATAGGAATTCCTTTCCCCTATTTTAAAGTTTGAGATAATATAGCAGTAACGTTAAGCAGCACTCAAAAAATGAAAATTCTTCTAATCTTACTGTTTTAGTATTGTCGTCTTAATTTTTGGGTACCTTTCTAAGGGTATAATCTTTTCATAATATGCATAGTTTATTTTCTGCTATTTTACATTAACATAAGTGTTTCCTTGTCATTTTAAATAGTCTTTGTAAACCTCTGTATTTTTTGGCACATGATATATGATACTGTCATAGTCTCTATATGTATGTGGGAAATAGTTTATTTCCAGGATTTTATTTTTGAGATAATGATGCATTCAGTATTTTCATACAAAATTCTTTGCTTCTGTGACCTATTTCCATAGGAATAAAGTGGTGTAGAGTTATATTAAAGGCTCTTGATAATACTGTCTGGTGGACATTCTAAATTATAGATCCTGCATAATTTTCCTACACTTATCAGCACTGAGATTATGATTTTTGCCACCATAATATATGTACAGTGGTATATTGATATAGTCCCCATTTGCATTTCAGTTTCCTAATTGGGAAATATTTTTTCATAAAAATTTTCAATTATTAAATGAAGGATTTGGTACTTTTTGGTTGGTACTTGTATTTTGCCAGTTTTATTCACAAATGTCACTCTTCTCTATAATTTTAATAATCCATCTATGTTTCTTTCTGTGGAATTTACTATTAAGATCCACATACTTAGACAGTGTTTCAAATAGTATACTATAGTAATTAAAAGCATTGGCTTACCCATTGAAGATAGACTGGTTTTGTGTGCCACAGCTAACCTTAGAGTTCTAAGGATTTTAGCATAGTGCATGGCACAGTTCATTGATTTAAATATTTAAAAAAGTTTTAAATTATACATACCAGTGGCTGCTTTTATAAAAATTAAAACTTATCAAATAAAGCTTAGTTTGAACCTTCCCACCCTCATCCATCTTCTCACACTCTCCAGAGGTAACTGGTGTTATGATCTGGAAGTGTATCTTTCCAAGTGTTTTTCTTTGCTTTTACAAGTATTTCTGTATCCATAAAACGGTGTAGGGCCAAGGGGGGTGCTGGGTATCATGCTGGGTTTATCACAGTTTTTTCACATGATGTTTTAGACATCTCACCAGTTGTTGAAGCTTGTTCCTTTTAACTGTCATCATTCTTATTATGATAAGATGGTACTTAGTTTATTCCTTACTGTAATGATGGACGTTTTTAAGATTTCAGTATTATGCTATTATTATTTTCTTGCACTGACAATAAGCCTGCGTGTCACTGTCCTAACACCTGCCAATGCTCATAACTCCTGTTTCGTCGTCATCATCACCATCACCATCATCAATTTACAAGCTGTTACTGTTTTGCCTAAAGGCTAAGTGGCAATATCTCTTTTTCAGCTCGGCAACCTTATCTAATAGCTCTAATCTGGTGGTTTATACTCTTAGCACACGGCACAGGCGAGTGATGAGGAAGAGGATGACGATGGTTGTGACATTTTTGCTGACTCTGAGAAGGAGGAGGAAGATACTGAGGACATTGGAGAAAATACTAGGCCTGTAAGAGAGACTGAACCTTGCTATCTCTCAGCAAGGTTTGGATGTGGTGCCTAAGACTCATTCCTTCTATTGTCATTTATATTTGTAACTGTCTTATTTTACATCACACTTGTATTTCCATTTATACTTTTGAACATAATGATTGAGCATCCCAAGTTGCCTTATAAGGTATTACTTTCTCTTTCAAATGTTACAGTTTTACAAGTCAGATCATTCAAAATATATTCAGTTCCAGAGTTTTAAGACCTTAATAATCCTCCCCCTTTCCCCACCCTGAGCACCTCATGATAGTTTTCTTATCAAGCTCTCCAAGCAAGTATTAAAATACAGTATAAAAAAAATAAGGAAATACAGAGGATGTCCCTTCAAAGGGACACCGGGACCTGTCTTTTAGGTGGTTTGTATAAGGTGCATGTGTTTAAATTCATTTAGTTAAACCCTATTTTCTCATCGGTCCAATTTCATTGTCGTTTACATAATTTTGCTTGGTGTCCCAAAATAAACTGTACTAGTTGGTATATTACAAAAAGGTGATTCTTTCGGTCTCTTTTGCCTGTAGAAAAGAAGTAGACCAACGTCGTTTGCTGATGAGCTGGCCGCCCGCATCAGAGGAGATGTTGCAAACCAACTGGCAGAGGAGCGGACAGGTACATCCCCAGATGAGTAATGGGGAAGTGAGGCCCTCCGTGGGGCTTCACCAAGGACGAAGTTCCCGTTTAGTTTTACTAAGGCACAAGAGGCTTATGTTGTACTTCTCATTCTTCTTTTGACTTGTAGACTCTTTACTAACTGAACATTGCAGACCTCCCAGTAAAAACGCACATTTATATAACATTGTATGTGCAGCTTCAGGGGATTGATGGATACCCCAGAGAGCCATGGGCCCAGATTAAGAATCTCTGCCTTAATATTTACTACCATATCTTGACTAAATGAAAATGTATTGCACAGTATGTTCTAGCGATTTAGGAGGGTGGAAAAATGGCAGGGTAAGTCTTTCAGCAAGTGCGGTCCTGCTATGCACATGACCCTGGTATGTAAGCTGAAACTGAGTGCCTGCTATGGTAAGGCGCTGGCTGAAGGGATCCGGTGGAGCTGAGAGACAAAATTCAGTGGCTTGCTCCGAGCTTAGGAGTCATGAGGGTGGCTGACATGTCTGTGAAAAATCAGATAAATACAAAGTGTAGACTGAGTGTGGTTAAAACTGTGACATATTCTTCAAGCCTTATCTCCAGAAGCAAAACCTAAGAAGACACCGAGAGAGAAGAAGGAAAGAACTCCCTCAGATGGTAGGCCTATCCCTCAATTCTGGTATTTTCGGAGGCTCTTAACTCAGGAATATTGCTTACATAATTCATAAAGTACCACTTTAGATGCTTGACAATGGGGTCTGTCTCTTGAGTCACGCTTCAGAGCGTTTAAAAGCATGCTTTGGGTGCTGGGAGGAGAGACGGGTGTGGGGAAAACTTCTGTGAGGATTTGAATTACTAGATTTTATAGTGATCATTAGCTATCTTTCTGAATTCTTTTCCAGTATAGAAACTAGAGATCTTTAGCATTTGTTTTTTTAATAAAGACTATACCAGGCTGTTTCATGTTAAGCAGTAATGCCAATTACATTCCCACTTGTGACTGCAATCTGCAGATATCTTTGTTTAGTCTACCCTTACCCCCAATTTTTTTTTTTTTTTTTTAGCTGAGCCATCCTGCCACCTATTGGCAGCTCAGCGGCAGCTCAGCTCTGGCCGTGAATGGAACTGGCAACCCATTTGCTCAGAGCTCGCACTCTTGAGTGAGCTCTTAACCAACTGAGCCACTCGGCTGGCCCTTTCCTTCCCCCAAATTCTTGGTGGAATGGTCTTCAATGGCAGTCGAACCACATACTTGCTTCAGAAGACATAAATTTAGATTAAAGGGATCACCTATGGAATTTACCCTGCTCCAGACTTTTACTGACTTTAGGGTGGGAACCCAGAGAGCCTTTTAAGGGGTTCAGTGGGCTGTTTAATGAATTTTTGTTAGAAATTTCTCAGACTGCCAGCACTCAAATACCCCTGGTTACATACGGTTAGATAAGCTCTATGCCAATTTTGGAGATGTTGCAAAGGCTAAACCCCAGAATTTAAGTACCAACCCCATCTTTAACTCTCCCGGCAAAACATTCCTTTGTGTTTGTCAGATGAAGACGAGAACTTGTTCTCACCACCCAAGCTGACTGATGAAGACTTCTCACCATTTGGCTCAAGAGGTGGCCTGTTCAGTGGAGGGAAAGGACTTTTTGACGATGAGGATGAGGAGGTGAGTCAGTGGTAATCTGAAGCTCTCCAGAGCTGTGTCAAGGGTACATGAGGAAGAAATACACTTTGTTCCTTTAGGAGGAAAAAAAGTGGCTTCTTAGTTGCAAGTTGCTTCTATAATACTTTCATATTTGGGGAGATTTGGAACTAAGAATCACAAAGTGAGAAAATACTGTATCTTGATGCCCTTCGTTAGGCAGGGAGAGAATGTGGGAGTATTAATAGGAATAATTTACTTGATAAGGCAATTGTTTCTTACCTTATCTGTTGTCTTCTTCCATGTTTGTATTTAATTTCTGGACAGACCTAAATTCTTTAAGAGTCCGATTTTACCATAGTCTTTACTTTGGAACAGATTGTCTGGCAGAACAGCAAATACGTATCTTTAAACTTTACAATGTACTTTTCTTTAGAAAACCTCAAATGCAGCGACATTTTCCATTGTGTTTTTGAATTCTGTGTCTATCTTATTACAACCAGAGTGACCTCTTCAGGGAAGCCCCCCAAGACCGAGAGGCTCGAGCCCCAGTTAGTGAAGGTAAGCTTGGATGGAGGCTGACTGCTTCTTTGTACCCAGATTTCCAAAACTGTTTACTTCCCATTAGGAGATGGAATCCCTGGAGTTGTTCTCAAGCCTTGTTTCTTTGTCAGGCAGAAAGCTGTTGTGTTTGCCTCCGTCTATTCAAAAGTAGTTTATTTGTACTAATTCATGACTTGGAAAAAACAGAGAGTGTCATCTGTAAACCCACATCACAATTTTACCTCTTAGAGAATTCATAAAAAGTCAAAACAGGAAAACTCCACTAGCAGCATATTTTAATTTAATCAAGTTTAACTTAAAAAAAATTCCTAAAATTCTGCATGTAAATTGGAGATCAGCATTTCCCCAGCCCAATGTGCATCATATCTGTGGAGATTTTAAAAGGCACGCCTAAAATATTTAAAAACTTAAAATTTTATTAAATTTTTAATAAAATTGTAGGCCTGTGGTAGTTCTTGGAAATTGGGAATTAGTTATTTTAAGCAACTTGGTCTCCCCAGGCCACAAGTTGTCAGATTTTGGACTGCTCAGATGCTGCCTTGATTGTCCTATGGTGCCTGATCTCCAGTTTTTGGCATCGGTGACTTGCCTAGTTTCCCTCTGTCCTGTTTCTGTCTTGATTTTTTTCACTGATGTCTCAGGTTTTTTGCTGTCTTTTTCACTTGTTCATCTCAAATAGGAAAGTGTAGAGTGGGCACTGGAGGAGCCCTGCTTGCCCCGCCCCTCCCCCCATTGTGCTTGTGTCTTCCTTGGCCTCCCCAGCCAACCCCACTGCTTTTGTCTGCCCAGAGTCACACTGATCTTCCATGGGAGTCACAGCTGAGATGGCATCAGTACCAAGAAAAACGCCATGACATTGGTAGAGAAGATAATACTAAGGAAGTTTAAAATGGCTCTTTTAGGAAAAATTAGTTTTAAAAGGTCTCTTATTAGCGGTGTATTGTGTTGCACATATTTTAGGAAGGTGCGTTTAAAAGGGAAGTTAATGTTTTTGTTGAAATGGTTTTCTCATTCTTTCTTACTTTAGTGTCTTCATCTTCCAAACCCAGAAAGAAAATCCCAGCAGTTTCTGTATTTTTAGGTATCATCATGTAGGGTTTATTTTTCAAAAACTACATGAGTATCATTTTGTCATTTTTAAAATTGCCATCTTCTAAGGGCTGGCTGGAGAGGAGGAGGAGCTTCAGAGGGCATGGGACAGCTTACAGAAAAGAGAGTGCATTTCCTGGGATAAGCTCCTATTCTCTTAGAAATTGGTGGCCTTGGCCCTTTTTGTGTTTGAGTGACCGGGTAATTCTGCATTCTGAGATGTTCTATAGCAGAAATGATAGAAGTTATTGGGTCCTGTTACTGTGTTTTGTGGATGAACTGAAATTAAAAGTTCTAGGGGGGTAGTAGTGGTTTTTCCTTTTCTGTACAGTCAGGAACCCCTGACTCCCCTCCCCCCCACACACACACATACACACTGGCTTATGCCGGGCTGTCTTGTCCCTGCCCCCACAGGGGATGCTGATGTGTTTGGTACAACCTCTGCTCCATCACTGAAGGAGCCCCAGAAACCCGAGCAGCCCACCCCAGGGAAAAGCCCGTACCTCCCAGCGCCCACTGGCCTCTTTGATGATGACGACGACGATGACTTTTTTGCAGCATCCTCTGGCAAACCTACCAAGACAGGTACCTGTTCCAGCCTGTTTCTGGGAATTTTTCCAGAAAAAGAATATTGACCTAAAAAGGACATAAAGCTCCTCTAGTTCATGTCTCTTGCAGTACCAGGACCCCTCCTCAAGCATTCCTGTCTTAGAGTTGCCTCATCTCTACTTAAATAGCATGGCCCCTTGTAGATCTCTATTTTATGAACCAGCCTTTTCTGCTTTGGAAACGAATTACTAGGAATATCTTCCTTATAGAGAGCTGAAATCTGTTCCTCTATAATATCTGCTTGAGAATTTTTCTTTTCACCTTTGGAATTACAGAGAAAGTTCTAATCACACTTTCTTCCGGCAGTCCTTAGTAAACTATAATATATGAGTAGAATGCCACAGGCTAGCTGTTTAGTTCCCAGCTGCTCTTCTGTGTTCCAGAAAGCCCAGGTGATCTGGGCTTTTCCTGGCACAACAGGATTTTCAGCCCCTTGGCCACTTTGGCACCCCCCCCCTTCCTTCCCCCTTCAAATTTAAGCCCATTTGTTCATGAAATCATCCTCTAAATCACTTCTTTAATGCGCAGACTCCCAGGACTGCTGTGAAAATGCAGATTCTGATTTAGTGGGTGTTGGGTGGGGCCTCGAGTCTGCATTTCTAAGGATCCCTCCGTGGGCAGAGAGTGCTACTCTGTGGGTGCACTCAGCCCTTTTATTTCAGCTGTAGGTGGTGTGGAAAGTAAGGATAGAAGCAGAAAGTGAGGGAAATAACAACCTAGGTATTTTAGAAAGAGTGCAAAGGGACACCTAATACACTCAGATCTAGGTCTACTGAAAGGACGGTGAGTACGGGCAGTCGAGCCTCCTGTGGCTGGGATGACTCTCACTGCGGTGAATGTCACTGAGCTGATTTGGAATTGCAGGTAAGCTGATGCTGCTTTCTTTGACAGCTGCTTCTCCTGGGACATTCATGAGTCAGCGCCCTCATTTCAGCGTCACACGCCTCATTCAGTGCAGCATTGCTTCTGGTAGTGAAAGGTTGGAAACTGCCCAAATAGTCATCAGTGGGGTACATTATGGTCCTTCCATTCAGTGGAATTTTGTGAACCTGTTAAAAAGAATGAGGTCTATGTCCGTTCACATGATGGGATACTCTAGGTACATTCAGTGAGAAACACAATGGGAAGACATGTCGTTCAAGTTAATGTTATCATTTATAGCCTTATTGGGAATGACTAGAGTTAATACATTAGCATCTTCTGTGGGGAAATTAGTAGCATGTATAATAAACTGTTCCCAGTGGGTGGGAAGGTGGAGCGATGGGGGAGATTTCAGTGTTTGCTTTTATATGCTTTTGTATAATTTGATTTTTTTTTTAAGCAGAAGCCAAACCTCATTCCTCAGCTTCCTAGAGTGATTATTAAACAATCTTACTTTCTATAGGTCTGTCTATCTTGTATGCCTGTCCAAGCTACTGGAGGCATAGCATGCTGTTGCTTGGATAAGTGTGTAAACCAGATGGTTAAACTGTCCCGTGTTTCATTTGAGCTGCTGTTGTGTTCTAGTCCACTTAATATTTCTTGATAACTCATCAAGAAATGATATACTATTAAAATTTATTTTTTGAGAGAGAAGAATTTTTAATCTATGAATTTTGTGGTGGGACTTTTTACCTTCACGTAATTTTATGTTGTGTTATCTTTTTAAAGACAAAATCAAATCCACTGCCAATATCTTTGATGATGAGGAAGATCTGTTCAAAGAAAAAGCAGCAGCTTTGTCAGAAGCAGCTGTGACTCAGACAGATGAAAATAAAGCAAGAGCAGAAAAAAAGGTGAGCAGGAGTGAAGACAAACACAGGAGTGTTGGCTTCGGGCATCTTGTTCATTCATTTGGAATCCAGAGGGAAGTAGTGTTTCCTTTCAAGTGTATAGTGAAGAACTTCAAACACGCAGGAATTTGGAAGAAAAGTATGAGCACCCAGATAACCACCAAGTTTCAGCAGTTGTTAGGATTTGTCCAGTCATTCTAACATCCACTGATGATCTTTTCCTGAACCAGTTATGTTGCGGGGTGCAAAAGAATGTTTCTAATTCTTGCATTTTTTTCTTCCTTTATTAGCTGGCATTTTTCTGAAGAGAAGAGCTTTCTCTCCCTTTTCTGCTTTTTTAGTATCGTTATAGGATAATGGCTTCTCTATTCATGTATTATAATCCATGAGCATCGTTTTTTTTTGTGATGTTCAGATTGACCTGTATTTGGCCAGTGCAGTGCCTGCCCCTCAGTCTTTAAACAGTTCTAGCTGCTTTCCCTTCCCTATGCTACCTTGTACACCTTGATCTTTCTAAAGCACATCTCGTGTCATGTCCACACTGTGAAACCCTGACCTTCCCGCTGCTGACCACTTACTAGGTCCCAGCTCTGAGAACCCGGCCAGCTCCTGAGGTGGCCCGCCATCCCATTTGTGCATGGAATGAGGCAGGCAGCCTGTCCTACTCTCTGAACCACCAGATGTGCCCTCCGTTTATCCTGCTTTTCTCCTCATGTGGTTCCCTCTGCCTGGAATGTCCTTGCATGTACCATCTTTCATGTCTGGGCCTTGTCTATCCTGAGAAATTTACTTTGTTAAGGAACTGTTTCTGTCCTCTTTCCTAACTTTTACCAATTTTTAAATCCTTTCTCATGATACTTCTCCTTTTGAGTTAATTCTTTGTATAAACTTGATACGTGTCCGAGGCTCATGGCCCCTTTCTTCCTTGGTGCATGGCCAGTGTCATCCCAGCAGGCTCAATACATTTTCTGAGTGAATGATTGAGTAATTCCTTACTTCCAGGTGTCTTATTTGTTAACTCTGGATATTTTTTTTTTTCTAACGTAGGTTACCCTGCCTTCCAGCAAAAATCTCAAGCTCTTGCCAGAAACAAAGCCTCAAAAAGGTTTATTTTCAGATGAGGAAGACACTGAGGTATGGAATTCTTTTTCTTATTTCTGGGAATTAGTCACTCGTTATGACATTAGAAACTATTTCTCAATCAGGATTTTCTCAGTAGAGGTACAAGATTTTTTATTAAGTTCTTCAGTTCTTTTTTTGAAAATAATCTCTTGAGAACACATGGCCTTTACAAAGCAGTATATGTACAGTACTTTTCACTGTTGGATTTGAAACCAGTGCGTTCCTGGGAGGAAAACACTGTCTCGCTTAACTCAAATTTTAGGCTATTTGTTGGTCCGCAGTGCAATGAGGCAGTCGTACCAGGACAGCAGTGAACACACTACTTCTCTTTTCGGTAGTCTCACTAAGAAGTGAGCTTGGTGGTGAAGTGATGAGCACTCTGGCCCAGCCTTTTATCTGGTGACTGGAACAGTCTGTGGCTGGCACTGGCTTGCCGACAGCCTCAGTCCCCCAGGCACTTGGCCCAAAGCAACCCCAGCTCTCAGAGCATCTCTGCTTTTTCTGACTCCCACAGGCCTTGGTCCTTTTAGAGCCAATTTTAGGCCAGGCTTTTAGAGGATCAGAGACCAGTATAAGAACGCCATGGGCAGCAGTCAGTCCTCTTCACAGAAAACTATGTGGACGTGGCAGAAATTTATGTGTAATTTTATGATTTTAAGAACTTTGAGTTAAACCCTAATGGTTCCTTTGTACTAACAGCCAGGATGAACATACACCTCTAAGTATAGTGATTACCATTGATATAAAAAGCCTTGGAGGCTTATATTCTATTAACAGCCAGTATACCGAAGATAGGAAGTCACCAAAGTCTTGTTAAACACAACTCCTGACACATGAGCATGGCATGCTGGGCCTCACACTCTGGTCTCCTGTGCGCTCCCCACTGCTTCGCTGGCAGGCACACCAGCACTTCAGGCCTTTGCACTGGCCTCTACCCCTCCGGGATTGCTCTGCCTACAGTCTGGGTGGCTCCTTACTTGGCCCAGTTTTCTGCCAGGCCTTCCCCGATGACCATTGCCATGGTAGCAAGCCCGCCAGCACACACCACACTGCACTCTTTCACCCCTCCTCTGTTGTGCTGTCTCCACAGTCTGTGTTGCCAGGTGGTTTTTCATGGCTACTTGTTTATTGTCCCAACTAGAATAAACTTGGTGAGGGCATGATGTTTTATTCCCTGCTCTTGTCCCTGATACCTAGTGATTAGCACTTGGCGAGCCATCAAATGTTGTCAACTACAGGAAAAAAGAAAACAAATATGAGCAATTTTGGTGACTTTAAAGGTGTTCCAGTTTTTTATCATTATGAAATAAATCACTCCAAAACTTAATGGCTTAACACATCAATAAGATCTTTTTACCTTTTTTGGCTCCAGAAGTTGATTGGGCTAAGCTGGGCACTTTTCAGGTAGGTTCTTCATGTGGCTCCTCGCCTGAGGGTGGCCAGGCTGAGGCATCTCACTTCGGTTTCTGGGCCTGGGTGGGAAAGACTCAAGCCACCCCCTCTTATCTCTCTGTTCCCCCAGCATGGCAGCTGCTGGGAATTCTTCCATGGGCTTCCTACGTGGTGGCCCAGAGATTCCCAGTGAGATCCAGAGAAAGATGCACAGAGGCCTTATTGCTTTACGCGTCCTAGCCTCCAAAGTCAGCATTATCACTTCTGTTGCATTCTCTTGGTCAAGGCAGTCACAAAGGCTTGCCCTGGTTCAAGGGCAGGAGACAGACTCCACTTCTTAATGGTAGGAGTGTAAAAGGATTTGCAGACAGGTTTTAAAACTGTCACTGAAGGCTTTGTGCCCTGTACATTATCATAGATTGTTTTTATTGGATGCTGTCAGGGTGCTTAGGTAAGGAGAAGTGAAACAGTGTAGTCTAGAAGATAAAGCTTTGGACCAGGAGGATTCCTTCTTCACTCCTGCCTCTACATCTCAGGTGTGGAGCTGAAGCTTGCCCTGTGAAATCACTGTGGGGACATGTTTGAGGTAATGGGAAAAGCCTTTTTTTCCAACATTAGGAAGATATTAGTCAAGGGTCCAAAACCATGATGTTGAAAATGGTTTTTGTTCTTTGTTTTGGTGTCCTTTTTAAAAAGCAACATAGTCCTTTCCTTAAGTGAAATCTTGCCAGTATGTAAAATGCAGGAGAGGCATGGGAAGCCTAGAGTGCTCCCTGTGTGACCTTTTCTGCCTAAATAGACCCATGGGACTCCATGGTCCCCCGCGAAAACCACTGGACTGAGAAGAGCTCTTCTCAGTTAATGAATTCATTAGGTCTTTATTTGAGGAGTAGACATTGACTTCATAATACAAAATTTATCTAAAGAGGTCTTAGAAACTATGTTCTTGTCCTACTTAATTGCCTGGCTCTTGTGTGTTGAAGTTCCCTCCCGAGGAAATAGTTGTCATATTTTATGTTAAATTCATAGAGCTAATTTTATACTAATTCATGCAGTCAATTTGTAGACCTTTCTTGGCACATTATAGGTTAACATTTTGTAGCATTTTGAAAATTTCTTGAGAATCTACCAGATTTTTCTTGTTTGTAATATCTAGCTATCATTCAAGTAGAATGCCAAACATTTTAAAATAAAAAGTGAATTTGTATTTATTTAAAAGAAATAATGTTATATACTCTTATAAGAGGAGAAAGGGGTATTACTGTTAAAGAGTCATAGATCGAGTAATTTGGGAATCTAGCTTCAATTTCCATTATGGAGTCTATTTAATCCTTCTGATTCTTTGGGCAGAAAAAGGAAGTCTCTTTTTTTAACATGATAGACTGATAGGAAAAATTTCTCCTGCCTTAAAGCATGCAAGTGGGATGCCAAGATAAAGCAAAGTGGGAGCATCAAAACCTGTGGGTTGTAGTGAGGCCATCTGGCATTGCATGTGGTCCCTTCCTCCTCATGGGCATTCGCGCTGCGCACAGCTGGGGCACACTGATGGTGTTCTTTGAGGACAGTCTGACAGAGGCCTAGATGCACGGCTGCTGCCATGTAACAGTCTTCATGGGTGCTTTAAAACTGACATACCTTGTTAACCAGAAACTTTCATTTTGATCCAATAGGATTTGTTTTCTTCTCAAAATGTGAGTAAGTCAAAAGACGCAGCTGTCCTGCCTAGCAAACTCCCCAAGTCAGTTTCGCTTTTCGATGATGAAGATGAAGAGGTAAATGTGCTTGCAACACAGATAATCAGATTTTCGATTAGTAGAAAACTGTTGCTGATATAGCTTTATAGCCAGAGGCCCATTCAGTGGAACGAGGTGATGGGGAAAAGCAGTCAAGCTCTCTGAGGCTTATATAGCACAAGTATTTCCGTTTTTCTTTCAGTGACTCCTGTCTTATACAGTGGTCAGGACATTAAGTTCTTGACCCAGCTCTTATGGAAGGCTTTGTGGATTTCACTTTAAAAATCTGGCTTTAAGAAATACTTTTAGAGGCTGAATCTGTACTCTGCCTGGTAACCTACAAGAATATCTTAGTTAAAGGGGAAGGCGGGAGGGGAAGTTAGTCCATGACCTCACTGCTTTTCTTTCCCACCCTGTATAAGAGAGCAGAGTGGGGGAGAGGAATCAGGGCAGATATAGCAAGCTTTCTTTGCTCAGTGCTGTGAGTGGCTAACCTGGGCATTGTATCAGGCCCTGTGTTCATATCGCAGCTCCACTGCATGCAGGTTAGGGGCCTGGGGCAAGTAGCTTAACCTTTCTGAATCTCCGGTGGCTTGGTAGTACATAGGGTTACTGTGATAGCTAAAACAGCAGTGCCTGGCACATAGTAAGCGCATAGTCAATGTTAGCTTTGGTCATTAGTATCCCCATAGGATGCCATTTTTTGTTCTCATGGCCTTTCCTGCTTTCCCACACTCTCTAAAGGCTCCCATGATCGAATCTTTACATTTCAGGACTGTTCGCCTGATAAGTATACTGTTAAGAGTGTTTTTCTGCCTAACTCAGGCTCGGGCCCCCTGATGGTTTGTTACCCATATCAAAAAAAAAAAAAATTTCTTAATGGACACTTCTGGAGGGCTTGATGATACAAAAATGTACAGATGCCTTTGAGCCTATAAGAATCAGCTCTTAGTAGGCCAGTGATTTTACTTAGTAAGCTCTTTCTTATGTTTGTATTGTCTCTTTAAAATTAACCAGAAACACAGGTCATCCCTTCCCTCTGGTGTGTGTGCTTCATAAATGTAAAGAGTAGAGAAAGCTCTGTATTTCTCTCTTTCTGTCCATCACTCAGGCGGATTCGCAGAAAGGAAGGTGCATGTCTTTGGCTGCCTCAGGGCACCATGCTGCTCTCCTGGCAGTTGCAGGCTCTAGGCCCTCCCTACTGAGCACAGGGGGACCTGCCCACCAGAGGACCCTGTGGCGCCAGGTTTCCTCCTATTTCTGTGACCTTGTCTGCACATCCCCCACCCTCCCGCTCCCTCCCAACTTCCAGTTCTATGGTATCTGTGGACAGAGGATACAGTTAGAGAAGACTGCAGACTGTTGTTGCAGATGTGGGATTTACTAGCATTTTGTGATTTCCCCCCCAAAGGTGTTATATATGTTCTGTACCTGACTAGAGATTTATTCTCTAACAATTTGATGTGAGAATATGTCTTAAGTTTTTGTTTCATGTGTGTGAAGTTGTCATACTCTTCTGTCATTTGTTTTTCTAGGATAATCTTTTTGGGGCTACCGCTGCTAAGAAGCAGACATCATCTCTACCCACTCAAAGCCAAGAGAAAGCAAAACCCTCTGAGCCCTCCAAAAAGAAAGCATCTGCCTTATTGTTCAGCAGTGATGAGGAGGTGGGTTGAAAGTCTCTCCTAGAGAAGAGTCGATTATTTGATATGATTTAAGAGTTACAGCTACCCCAAACATTTTCTTTTTCTACCTCTTTTATGTCTAGGGAAGTTCAGTCACACCAAAGACTATGTGGACAAGACTAGCTTTTTTATCTTGAAGAAAGATATTTAGTATAATGTATTAAATAGAAAATCAATTCTTTTCAAAATGGTTAGGAATAAAATAAATATGGCCCTCAAGTTATAATATATGCTAATTCAAATGAGTTGTCTTATTTTATCTTGTTAAATGATCACTGCATTTCATTAATCAAAAACATGAATCTATACATGGAAGGAGTATCCTATGCAAGTTTAACTCTTTTTTTATTAGAGTCTTAACAATAATTCAGTTTACTGTTAGATACATAGTAAATATGGTTTAGCTGCTGTTTAGATATAGGTGTACAAGAAAAACTTTAATATTAAAAAACCTGAGCATTAAAAATCTTCCATGTGATAATAATTGCTCTTCTTTATTTTAACATCATAGGCAAATTAGAGTATGATGTGGATAGATAAATTGTAGACAGTGTTTTTATTGAAAGCAACTTAAAATGACATAGCATAATTTGCTTCGTCTACTCAAATGTTATGAATTTACAATGGATTTTTCTTTTTTTTTTTCTTTTTAGCATTGTTATTGGTTGTTTTCCCTGTAGGAATGGCCAACCATCAGTGGAATTTTTCCTACAATAGTGGTTCAGGAAAATAAAAATATTAGCTAAAGCTAATTACTGGCAGAGTAAAGATAACCAGGATTCTAGAACAGTGAATCTCAACATTGGCTGCCCATTGGGATTACCTGGAGAACTTTAAAGAGTGCTAATATTGGGTTCCACGACTAGAGATCCTGAATTAATTGGCTTAGGGTATGACCTGTCACTGGAAGTTTCTAAAGCTCTTATAGGGATTCTAGCATGTTTTGCTGCTTTGGAGGAGCTTGTCTCAAACCATAACGTGAGGAAATCCACCGGGCGTCCTGTTTCGAGTGCAGGTTCTGACTCAGAAAGTCTGGGAGGAACGTGAAATTCTGTGTAACAGATGCTGCTGACTGTGGACCCCACTTTGATTTGTAAAGCTCTAGACTGTAGACCAAAGGATCACTTAAGCAAGTGCTCAGGAATTTCTTGATTTGAAGGGGTGAGCACAGCCAGGTGAGGCTTCCTTAAATAAATGCTCGCGCAGTACAGATTCAGAATTTTGTGGTAAAAGGGTCAGAAGTCTGTTCATATGTGCATTGCTTGAGCTTTTTATACTTCTTAGCCTGTTTTGGGATTTTTAAATTAAGATATTTTCCTCCAAAGTTGAGCGTTCTTGATTTTTTTAACATTCTTTTTCCTTTTCACCCCCCTCTTTAATTAATTTTGATCCTCTAAAGTACACAAGTTCCCTCATCCTCATGTAGAACAAAACCATAGAGAGGAGACCCATCGGGGCAGACAGTGGAGGAGAAAGGCATGAGCAGGTCTGTGAAGTCAGAGAACCCAGCTGTCTAGATCTGAGTCCAAAGAAAAGCCTTGGACATGAGCTTTCTTTAAGTGTGATACACTTAGTAGGGTAATACTTAGTTTAAAATACAATTCAGTTTAACGTATGTAAATTTTATTTTACCGCCTAGGTTCCTTAGATTATATTGCCACTGGATTTTAATACATATTTTATATTTTCAGGACCAGTGGAGTATTACTGCTTCACAGACCAACTCAGCACCTGACAACAGGTCTAAAGGAGAACTTAGGGACTCTGGGACCACTCACAACCAGGAGACCAGGGCTGTGAAAAAGACCAGCTTGTTTGAGGAAGACAACGAAGATGATCTGTTTGCTATTGCTAAGGACAGGTGAGGGAGGCCTTGTACAAAGTCATTTAGTACAAGTCTGTGATAACAAGTAAGGGATTTGAGGGGGTAGTTTCTGGGGTGAGCCACTACTCATTCATTACCGGGTAGTAATACAAACGAGGCTGTCTGATTTTTACTTGCAAGGTATTTGTCCCCATTACTAGGAAATGGTTGTGGTTTTTTTTGGTGGATCCTTATCAAATTTCTTCTACCTATCATTTTTTTTTAACTTTAAAATATTTTCTTGGTTTAGTAGGGGTTCAAGTACAGTTTGTTGTCTTTTTTGGTTTTTCTCTGGGATACCCTAAAGAATGTTAAGTTTGGTCAAGGTTACTTAAGTTTGTCATTTGGGTAGAAATCTGCTCAGCCATGAACAGCATCCTGTTGGGAGGATGGTTCCCTGCAGAGTTGTGCTGGATCACACCAGTTACTGGAACGCCTCCGCATTCATGCTTGGACTGAAGCAGGCAGGATGTGCAGAAAATCAGCATGGGTTGTAGATTCACAGTAACTCCCTTGCAAATATTTTTTTCCCTCTTGAGAGTGTTTTTTTTAAAGATTTTATTGGGGAATTGGGGAAGGGGAACAGCCAAGTTGTTGTCCTTTGATCTTAGTTGTGGAGGGCTCAGCTAGCTCAGCTCCAAGTCCAGTTGCCATCCGGCCACCCTTTTGGCAGCTCGTGGTTGCTCAGCTCAAGGTGCCATGTTCAATCTTAGTTGCGGGGGACGCAGCCCACCATCCCATGCAGGAGTCGAACTGGCAACCTTGTTGTTAGAAGCACATGCTCTTGCTAGCTAAGCCATCCTGCCACCTGTTGGCAACTCAGTGGCAGCTCAGCTCAGGCGCAGCTCACTGGCCCATGTGGGAATTGAACCGGCAACTCTGTTGCTCAGAGCTCATGCTCTTAACCAACTGAGCCACTCGGCCGGCCCCCTCTTGAGAGTCTTAAATGATCACTTTGAAATTCAGCTGAATGGTAGCATAAAGAGGCAATTGATTGGACACGTAAATGCTGTGCATTGGTGTGGTTTCATTTTGATTTGATAGATTCAGAAGCACTTCTTATTTCTATCTCTGAATATTGTGATCTCTTCAGATTTCTACTATTGGCCCCCTTGACTTCACCCCTGGATGTATCCGTGGCCTCTGGTTAAGAATATGGGCTCTGGAATCCCAAGACCTGATAATAAATCCTGGCCCTGTCAGTTCTTCTCTGAATAACATTGGGCAAGATACCTCATCTCTCTCAGCCTGAGATTCCTCATCTGTTAAACAAAAGTACTAATAGTAGTACTTCTCTCATAGGATCACTGAGACGATTAAATGAAGTCCAAGTGGAAATACTTAGCACGATAGCTGGTACATTGTAAGCACCCAAATATTACCATTTATTGTCACGAGTATAGGGGAAATAACATTTCATTCTTTTATTTTGTTGCTCTCTTTCTCCTGGGACATTATACCTTTCTTAACTGGCCAGGCAGCTCCTTACAAGACTCAGTTTAAGCCCTCTCTTTTAAGAAGCCTTTCCTAACCCAAACAGGTGAGAGAGAAAAGTAAATGGGGTTGGAATCTAGAGCAGAAATGGCACCATGTTTGTGTGCCCGTCCTGTGTGGCTCTGGTACACTCGAGCACTTTCGACGTGGCATAGAAGTTACCTGTTACCATGTGTGTCCCTCCCTTTGCCCCTACCACACACACACAGTCACAGGTTTGGAGATCTGGAAACATGTCTCATTTGTAGGTGCCAGTCCAAACTACACACAAAACCTGGCTTTCAGTAATGCTTCTTTCTCTGCTCTGGACTGATTTCATCTCCAAGTGGTCCAGAACTTGTCCGTAAAATGTAGTGTATAGGGAATTTTTCTGAGGAAATAATTCAAAGCTTTCATCTGATAATAAGAATAAAGAAAAAGCTTTTGCAGACAGTAACAGATGTAGGAGAGGGTGTGGAGGCACCAGAACCCTCGTACACTTTGCTGGATGAAATGTAAAATGGTGTGGCCACTTTGGACAACAGCCTAGCAGTTCCTTAACAATGTTAAACATGGAGTTAACCACATGCCTTAATTTCACTCTTAAGTATATGCTGGAGAGAAATGAGAACACGTCCACACAAAAACTTGTACAGAAATGTTCATCGTGGCATTCATTATTCACAGTAGCCAAAAATTGGAAACAACCCCAAAGTCCATCAACTGATGAAAGGATAAACAAAATATGTTATATCCATATAGTGGACTCTTATTCAGCAGCAAGAAGGGATGAAATACTAATACATGCCGCAACATGGGTGAACCTTGAAAATATTGTGGTAATTGAAAGAAGCCAGTCACAGAAGACCACATGTGTAATTCCATTTGTGTATGACATCCAGAATAGATAAATCCATAGAGACAGAAAGTGGATTAGTGTTGGTCTGGGGCTGAGAGGAAAGGAGAATTGGGAGTGACTGTTAACATGTATGGGGTTTCATTTCGGGTTGATGGCGATATTGTGAACTTAGATTATAGTGATAGTTGCACAATGCTGAATTTACTGAAAACCAGTTAATCATATACTAAAAAAGGGTACATTTTATGGTCCTGTAAATTATATCTCCAGACTGTTCTAAGAATACCAAGATTTGTGACCCTCACGAAGTTGTGAAATACTGTCTTGTAAGCAGGGCACTCAATGTCCTGGCTTGTGTAGACAGCCCTGGTTTGTGCCTGTCATTCCAGCACGGTTGTTACTAACTTTCCCTTTCACTCTCAGAAGTGTCCTGGCTTAGACCATAAACTCTGTGGTCATCATCATGTTTTCTGATATCTGTACTTTTAAAATAAATCAAAATATTTAACCTATTATAATGAGAAGTATTCTAGCTTACTGTGTAACTTATTTTTCTTCTGAGCACAGATCTCCATGAGAGGCCCAAATTTAACCAGCAGCAGCTGTGAGTGTGGACTGAGGGCCAAGGTTAAGGACTGTCTTTTGGTTTCTAGTGTACCTATGTCTGGAAAAAACTAGCTCTTCTCCAGCTTACCTTCAGAATCTGTCATCAGATTTTTTTTGTGGGTTGGGCTGTTTTGTTTTGTTTTTGGGTTTTGTTTGTTTTTAGAAATGACTTGTTCAGAAAATTATACGTAAGATTTTCTCCTGCTATTGCTACTTAATGAGGTTTCTCGTATTTTTGGGCATCCGATATAGTTAATTTTTTAATACTTTGTGATCATTAATCACCTAGTAGTTAAATACTTTGGTTATAGTTTGTGTAAATTTTTATCGGTGTATTTCCTTATAGGCATATTGCATGTTACCTTACTGTGTCATTATGAATTGGCTCTCTGCTTTTATAACTGCTTCAAGATACAGCATTCATTTTTATCCTTTAGTATGTGTCCAGTGTAAGTGCACGCAACTATTTGGTTAGTTGTTCCCTAATCAGTGATCCTTAGGTGTTTTTTTGTTTGTTTTTTAGCATGTAGGCTGACGTGAATATTAAACTAATGAATAAGATACATGGACTGTGCTTTGTTAATAGTTAAACTTACAAAAAGATGATGATATATATAACATCACTGGTATATATGCTAGTTGTGTTCTATGTAAATAGGTGGATATGGTGAGCAATTTGCTGAAGTGACTTACTAATATTATTTTTATCTAGCTAACATTGAATTTAAAGTTTTCATTATTTGGTAATTCTCTAGTATGCCAGCTGGATGATTGCTTATCATGTAGTAAAAACCGGAACTTGACCCTTTAGTAGTTAGAACACTTTCTGTTCTGGACTCCCCATGTCCAGTGCTAAGCCTCCACTTTTCTATTTCTGTTCTTTCAAAGGTCTTGACCAGACTTGTGCTGGCAGACACTTATTGCCCACCTTCTCTGTAGGGGCCAGAGTCGAACGAACCCTAGACGAGGAGGGAGGTGAAGGCCGGCAGGAGGAGAGTTGTGGCTAGGTGTCAGCGGTGGTGCCTGACATGGGGTGAGATATGGTGAATAGTGATGTGGAGAACAGTGAAAATGAGCTCTGCTTTCCCCAGGTTCTTAGAAACTTTATGTAGAGGGGAAGGGATGGAATGGGTTTCAGGTTTGAAGAGAAGGCATGGAAGGCCACAGAGGTGCTTGGAAAGTCAGGGTTCAGTGGCAAAGGGGCACCAGGCCACAGGTCACAGGCCAAGCAGGCCCTGGCCCTGTGATGTCTTGACAACTGCCTTTCTGACCACTCTGGAAACAGGCATCCATGTTCTCTGGTTCTTCCAATGCTGTAGGAAGTGGTGAGAGAGAATGCTATTAATACATTTGGGGATGCTCCAAGTGTTGTGTGCCATGGCAAAGCTAACAGCTAGTGCACCTACACTGAGTCAAAAGTAACAAAGTGGACAAGACAAGGAAGGCCCTGGACTCTTCTACATAAGGACGAGGGAGAAGCAGATGATCTGCGAGACACAAATTGCACCTACTTCAAAAGTTTTTCTTGTTTTCTTTTAACTGTGTAAGGTCAACAGAAGGCTCAGGTGTTCTAGTGGCAGGTGGGTTCCTGTAGGTGTGGCCTTGAAAGGATATTGTTTGTTTGTTCTGTCACATTTGCCTTTTATTTTACTTCTGTTTGTATAGCCAGAAGAAGATCCAGAGGGCATCTCTCCTCTTTGAAGATGATGACGCTGACAGTGGAAGCTCTCTGTTTGGCTCTCCTCCCACATCTGTTCCTCCAGCAACAACGGTATTCTTAACCTTAGGCTTAGGAAGTATCTTTGAGGTGGTGTTACATGAATAGTCATACTTCCCTGAATCAGCTCTTAAAACCAGACCTTGGAGACTGATCCAATGGAAAAACTTATTTGCGTAATTTTAGAAAGAGATCTTCAGGTGAGTGGTATTTTACAGCTGAAGCTCACATGCAAAGCCTGAAGAACAGGATTCCTCCATGTTGGCAGCTCTGTTGGCAGCTGTAGGTCCCTGGAATCTCGGGGAGCGCTGCTGTAGTTCTGGAGGAATCGCCAGGCTTAGCGTCAGTGGCATGGAGTTCTGCTAACATTAGGCCCAGCCAGTTAAGTCACATATGATCCCTTTGAGAAGCATGTTTTAAGTACTAGCACTTTGGTCTTGGTTTATATTAATAGCCAATATGTAAAAAGGAAGGGAATTCTGACTCCTGCTACTACATGGATGAGCCTTATGGACATTATACTTGATGAAATAAGCTAGTCACAAAAAGAACAAATGCTATATAATTCCACTTACTTGAGTTACCTGGAGTAGTCACATTTATAGAAACAGGAAGTAGAACAGTGGTTGCAGGGGCTCTGGATAGGGGAGAAATGGGGAGTTGTTTAATGGGTCCAGAGTTTCCATTTTGCAAGATGAAAAAATTCTGGAGATTGATTGTACAACAATGTGAGTGTTTTTAACACTACTGAACCATACACTTAGAAATGGTTAAAATGGAAAATTTTATGTTGTGGTTTTTTTTTTTTACTGCAGTGTAAATAAATGTTTTTGAAGTATGTAATAAGAGAAAAATAGCCTGTCAGTGACCCCCTGGTGTAAATAGCCTTCCAATAGTTACATCTTCGTGACATGACTACCACAATCACCCAAGCTGAAACATTTAGTATGTCTTGGTGTTGGTCACATCACAAAGGAGTAGTAAAGAATGAGAGGAAGGGGCATGATGATGATATGTGTCTGGGAGCCTATCTTTGGCTTGTCATTCATCCTTCCCTAATGCATTCCCTGAGTATGTGCACTCAGAAAAAAGAAAAGCCAAGCAATATTTTATTCCCGCCTGGCTGTTGCTGACAGGCCCAAAGGGAAATTGAGCACTTCTTGGGCTAGACCCTGTGAAGACCTCTTGTGCCTGAGCTGGGGTAGCCTGAAAGGCCACGCATCACACTGACTCTCAGCCTGCTGTAAGGGCTTTCAGCTCCAAGCTCAGACTGTTCCAGATAGGTGTGTGTTAGAGGCAGAAAGACATGCAAGGCAGGGATGAGTCTCAGCATTCCTCCCATGTGGGAGCAGCCCCAGAATCCAAAATGGCACCTCCTTCACCTGACGTGGTGAAGAAGGCCCTCCCCTCCCACCTCAGTGACGGTGACCATGTCCCTTACGCCTGCACATCCCTACGGATGCCGCTGCTGGTAGGGGGTACTGTAAGTGACGGATATGATGCAGCAGCAGAGGAGCCTGGGACTCCCTATTTCCTGCAGGCCGATACTTCGTTCTTCTCCCATATCTCCTGAACGGTTTTTGTTTTAAATTACACAGTAATATGTGGATGCCTTCTTAAAAAAAGGTTTAGAAAGTGCACAGAGACTGCAAAGTCCCCGTTCCATACTCCTCCCTAGACATAATCACTGGGAACCATTTCCTTTTAGGCCTATTTCTAGGCACTTACATCTTTTTTAAAAATTTAAATAAGATCATGTACATTTTTAGGCATCTTTTTATGTCCTGTGGCATTGTTTGTCATTTCCATGAGCTCTATCTTGCTCTTTTTTACCACTGTATAGTATTCCACAGTGTAACTGTACCGGGACATGTGTGACTATTTCTCCTTCGATGAAGTAATCAGCACTGTTTTCTGTGAGCTTGTTAGGGCTGTTTCTTCCCATTCCGGCTGCCTTGTCATCTTCAGCCTTGATTACTGAGACAATTTAGTACCCGGTCTCTATCGCGGCTCCTTCCTTTCATCAGTTCTCCTTGCTGTTGCCCTGGTTGTCCTCATAAAGACATGCTCCTGTCATCCCCTTGTTATAGTGCCTTAGCTGAGTCTCCCATGCCTCCTGTGATCTCGTTTAAACTGGACTCACCTTTTCCAATCTGTCACACCACGTGCTCTAGGTGACTCGTCCTGTCCTAGAATGCTCCAGAAGAGGTGGTTGTCTCTTTTGTCCGGAAATCTTCTTCATATTTTCAGACATAAGACAAATGTTAACTTGTGCTGTGGAAGCTTCCCAGACCAGGCAAGTGGCAGTTAATGATGCAGGAACTCTTTCCTAACCACATTCCCATTAAGGCTTGCACAGCTTGTACTAGAAGCTTTCAGCACTGGGGAAGCGTGCTGCCCTCCTTGGGCTCTGGGGCTTCCTGCCACTGCTTCTGAGGTGGTCACAAGCCTTTCCTGGAATCACCCATACTTGTGTCTAGAGATCATCTAGAGTCGGGGAGATCTAAGTGGGTTTTCTATGTAAATTATAAATAATCTCTACCCTGGATAAATGATCAGTAATCTAATGAATTTTGAAGGTTCTGGAAATGTATAATGTTTTTCAACCTATAGTATTACGATCATTAATTAAGACAGAAAGTCAAGATACACATCTTAAGTAGTTGAACTACCTGCAATATGATTTTTACCGTACAGGTCAAATATAATCACTTTTAGACAATAGTATATAAAAGATATTTGTTGTTTAGAGAGCCTAGAATATTTCAAAGTAAGTTAAATGTGACTCACCTGTCAAGAAAATTAACTTCATGACAGAGGTGAAGACTCAGCCTATGTTTAGGAAGGTTTAAAACCTGCGGTTTGGCTGGCATTTTCCTTGGTTTAAGGCCTGTGGTTACATGAAGGGAGACTACGTCTCACCATACTAAGTCTCGTTTTTCACCCTCATCAGCTTGTGTCGAGATAGGTAGTTTTCACTGAGTCCACATTCCACAAATATTTTTTCCTTTAATCAATTCAGTTTTGCCTTCTCTCTTCTGAACTCTTTTGTGTTTCCAGTCTTTTATTTCAAGTTCAAATGATTATGCATTTTAAGGACCTCTTCCTAACAATAACTAAAAATCTCCTTACCTTATTCTTCTGACTTCATTCATAATTTTTTCATCGGTCTTCCTAATTTGATATAGATACTGCTTCAGAGCTAGTAGTATGGTAGTTACAGTTTTTCCTAAAGAGGTTTTGATGTCACTTGCCCCAAGAATGCCGATAACTCGAGGCAAGTCACAGAACCTGTTTCCTAACCTCTGACACCCTGCCTCACAGCTGAGGGACAGATGAGACAGGGGACAGTACTTGCACTCTTTGCTCAGCCCCTACCTGATGTAAAACACAGTGACTAGCTGTGGAAATATGCTATGTGATCCTTTCAGGTACATGGACAAATGTGTGATAGCTATTAATGGAAGTGATGAAGACAGTAAGGGCTAGGGAGTGATGTAGTAAGTACTGTTCTTATCAACAAAGCAACCAATGTTTACTGAAGAGAACAGGAAAACCTTCCCAGTGGACATCTGAGCAGGGCCTTGCTTAAAAGATGACTAGTGCCCAACATGGCAATTGCAGAGTTTACAATGGGTTTAAGGACTGGTGAGGATTGGTGAGATGCAGTGAATAAAGGGAGAGGATGAGGTGTCAGCTGATTGTCGTGGGTAGCATTTGCTTAATGCACACAGTGCATGTCTGGGGTGGGAAATGAAGTGATCTTGTGGGTCAGTTTTATTTTAGCAAGACAGCTCTGGAAGATGTCATATAGCTGAAATGTAAGACGAGGGAGACAGAGAGACTAGAAATTGTCTTGGTGGCAGAGGTAAGGATCTCAGCCATGGCATTATCTGTGGCGTTAACAGTCAAAAGGAGACACATGCAGTCAATATGGTGGCAGAAACGGAAGTGCCATGTCTGCAAGTCCAAGGTAGTCGTGTTTATTTCTTGTCCTTACTTGTGCCCCTGTGCTCTCCTGCCCTGTCTCTCCAACCACAGCACTCAGCGCCCTAAAGAGCACTGTGGTTTCAGCTTGTTCTGTGTGTTGCAGTGATAATCAAGCACACTGTTTTGTTTTTGAGTGTTAATCTAAAAATAAAGGGCCAAAGTGAGAAGCAACAAGCTTTATTTGAGATCCAAAAGAATAGCTAGCTATTAAGGAAGCACTGATTCAGGTAGAAACCCAAATAGCTTCTGATTAGGAGGCAAGACAAGAGGTATTTATGAGAAGGGGAAGGGGAATAATTATATGAATAGAAGGGAGGCATTTCTATGGGTGTTCAGAAGTTAAGGAAGGACTTTCTATAGGTGCAGATAAGATAACATAGTGATGCTAAATCTAAAGAATTTTTATTTTCAGTCCATAGCCCTAATATCTGTTGTTATCTTCACCAATGGGTGGTTGGGATATACAGTGTGCTTTAGGCCCAGTCCAAAGGTTACCTGGTCCTGTTTTAACATTTCACAGGTTTGAGGGGTAAGACATGCAAGGCAGTTCCTCTGGGATGGTAGCTCTGACTCCATTTTAAAGCGCTTCTTTTGGTACTGTTTTTCATGAGGATGTCGTTTACTTATCTTTTGGTAGAAAAAAGAGCCTGCCCCTGAGGCACCACCTCTGCTGTTCAGCGATGAAGACGAGAAGGAGGCACAGTTTGGAGTGAGGCCCATGGGCCAGAAGGTTGAGAGTGCCAACGAATCATCAGGATTTGGGAGAACACATGTGGTGGACAAGTCAGAAAAGGTGGACGGTTGTTTCTTGTATATTCTGACACATTTGTCTCACATCTGTTCTTGTAAAACACACACATACACACATATGCAACTCATACATTTTTCTACTGCAGAAAATACATGGCTTATTGGTTGAAAGATTTGAAAACACTGAGAAGTATAAAGAAGAAAATCTCTGATCCCACCGCTCACGGAACCCCCAGCATTGCTCTGGCCTTGCAGCCTCTCCTAGATAGGCGCGCAGGGATGTGTGGGCTGGCTGTGTCATCCTGCTACTGTCACCTTGTGTTCATGTCCATCTTGCCTCTCTCCAGGGTGTTCTCCTTCATTTTGTTTCTCACTTCAGTTTTCTCCCTGCATGTCTGCTTTTCTGATTTGTTCTCCATCGTGTTTCTATTATCCTTGGTTCTCTTCTAGTCCCCACCTGTACTTGAATTAAAATGACAGTCTTAAGAAGATTTTAGTTTACCATTCTGTACGTTTAGTTGATGTTGGCTGTGAATTAAAGTGAAATTTGTCTTTCTTTTTCTGAGTAGGCTGTCATTTCCTGCAGGAGATCTGTGGATAAATCTGCTGGCCACATCTGGTAATCAGCAATTACCAACGGTGTCTGTATAGCTTTTCTTTTTTTCTAACTTTCTTTGTACTCTGTGTGTTCAATGGCTTCTCTTCTAGGGCCTGTGTGGAGAATGTCTCATATACCTTTTCTGTTGAGTCTCCTTCGGGTTGCGATGATACAAACATTTTATTTGTACCTGAGTCATCGATGACATTCTGTTCCTGTAGTTTCTGTGTTCCTGTAGCCCCTGAGTTGCCCCAGGCACAACCCATTCCACACTTAATTCTAACTACTGGCTGTACCACTCTCTCCCTTGCTTGATTGTAAGCTCCTTGAGGATTGGGGCCAGGTTTTTGTTCATCGTATGTCTATAGTACTTAGTATTACTACCTTGCACATAGTAGTGACTTTTAAAATTATATATTTCTTTAAAGCTGCATTGTTTTTTTCACAGTTTAACCACTTTGCAATTAAGATGCACCTTAAAATCAACGGCATGTTTAGTTGGGTGTCATTTTTTCTTCCTTGGTGGTTCGTACAGTAATAATGGTAACTTACCTGAAATGTGGTACTTGTTGAATGAATAAATGCTGCTTTGTACAGTTATTTTAGAGATTCTTTTAATTGCATACAAAGTAAGCCTTCCATAATTTAAGTTTCAGTTTTGTCAAATTGGGTTTCTCCTTGGGACTTGCATATTATTTAAATATTAGGAAATATATGCTCCACTCCCAATGATTGGTACTTGTGTTATCTTTATGACTGAGGAGTTATTTATAGCTCTTAAGCAACCTATATGGGTCAGGGTTATAACTGGCATTTATCTCTTGGTAGGAAGGAGGGACTGATGGCTTTAAACTGAATGGAAGAATTCTCTTTGGCTGTGAATTACGTACACAAGACTCTCCATTGGAGCAGCTAATCAAGGATTGGCTTCTGTTTTGTTACCTGGGAGTGGATATGATAAACTGTCATGCCCTGAGACCGCACACAGGCAGTTACTGGATTACTGAGGAGCTTGGGAGTTTCTGCAGTAGAATTTGTATTTCCAGATGTTACTTATTTTTTTCCTTATTCTTTTCATTTTCAGGAAGGATCTTTGACTGTATCTACTCAGATAGCAGGCAAGCATCCTGATTTATTTTCTTCATCATCCTCATTGGACAAAGGAACCAAAAGTAGAACCAAAACTGTTCTTAGCTTATTTGATGAGGAAGAGGATAAAACAGAAGATCAAAACAGCATCCAAGCTCCAAAGAAAGAAGTAGGAAAGGTGAGCATAAGCAATAAAAAGGCTCAGGACTTTAGAAGGATAAAAGAAGCTCATTTCATGGTATCAGTTCTGTCATGTGAGTTTCTGAAAAGTTGAGGTTCCAGTTTCTTAACATTCTCACCAGCACTTTTGCTATATTTTCATCCAGTCTCTTACTGTATATGATTTTATACTGTGATTTTTACAGTAATTAAGTTTTAATCTTAATTGCTATGTTACATTGGTTTTTATGTATAATCAATAATGATAATCAATTATTAGTTAATTTTTAATGTGACCCATTTTTGTCAGAAGTGAGTTTTGTTTGTTTGTTTCACTCTGTGGATGTGATACTACAGAAATAGGGGAGAATTTTAGAATGTTAAGGCTAGAGCATTATAGTGTCAAATCAAGTAATATAAATAGTAACTTTCAAGTGTCAGACATCCTAGCAAACAAAGATTCGTTTGGAATCTGAAGGTAGTGGGATAGAAGGTGGACATTGGAGAAGGTTGGCTGGTCACACCTGTGCCAGGTCTTTGGACTAAGATGCTGACAGATTAGGGATACCAGCCTTTAGCCATTGTAAACAGAGCCACAGGCGACATCTTAGTTTTTTTGTCTTTGCAGCTGTGTGTGATTTCCTTGAGTTAAAGCCTTAGAAGTCTAAATACACGTGAACGTCCCTCTTTTTCCCAGAGTCCCGATCCTGATGCTCGTCCCAAGAGCACAGGTGTCTTTCAGGATGAAGAGCTCCTTTTTAGTCACAAGCTCCAGAAGGACAATGACCCAGATGTTGACCTTTTCTCTGGCACCAAAAAAACCAAGGTCAGTTCCCAATGGTTCTCTACATCATAGCTTTGTTATTGTATTAGATGTTTTCTCGGGAACTCACCTGGCTGTCTTTGTAAGTTGTTTTTGTTTTGGATATTGAATTTGAGTTTTGTCTGTTGTAGTTGCTAGAGCAAAGTGCTGGGAGCCTGTTTGGAGATGATGAAGATGATGACCTTTTCAGCTCTGCGAAGTCCCAGCCTTTGGTACCAGCCTTTTGTTATCTATACTGGGGTGTGTGAGAAGGCTTCTGAGAAAGGAAATTAATGTCCAGTTACATAGGAAAGAAAATACTCAGAGAATTGTGGTGCTCACTAGTAAATAAATGACAAATAATGTGCTGACGAGAGCGTTCGTGTTATCCCCATCTCGTGTTCCCTAACATTAAGTAACCCAGGCTCTTTTATTACAAATTTGTTTGATTTTTAAGTTGTTTATTAGTCATAATATGGTGACTAATATTCATGCTTTTCAAGTGCAAAGCTTTAAATTTTGAGTGTTCGCCCCTATTTGTCATTCCCCCCCTGCCCCAGCAGATTTGTAAGTACTCGTCTATTTTGTTTTTATCATACAGGGGACTCCTAAGAAAGTCACAGTCTTTAGAATGCTATTTCTGAAGTGCTGCCTTTGAGTTAGTTCAACCCTCATTTGAGAAATGACTTTTAAAACTCAGAACCCATATATATATATATATATATGTAGTTTTTGTTTGTTTGTTTTTCATTATGACTTTTCTTTTTCTTTAAAATGTCTGAGATACTTGACATACTTCTGGTTTCTTTTTCTTTTGAAGATACCAGAAAAGAAGAGGGTAGTGAAAAAAGACCACTCTTTCTCCTATTTCAAGAACCAGAAACATCCTGAATCCACTCAAGGTATCAAAGAAAAAAGCATGTGGAAACCGGAAATTCCTCAGGTTAGACTGATCTCTTTAAGGACTTTGAGCTCCTGTTTGCATCCCAGTACAGATTAACTCATACAGACCCAAGGTTATTCAGAGTTCTCTTAACTAGGAGGAAACAGCACCTAGGACTATCTCTCTTTACTGTATTTTTTTAAACCCCTGCTCATCTCTCTTCTCACTGCATATTCCAGTCCCATGAATCTATACTTATTATTTTTGGAGTCCCTTCAAATTTGATTCCAAGGTAGAGTTAAGGTAGGGTAAAGAATCTTATTCCCACTAGAACCTCCATTTCTCCTTTTGGGCTATCTTGGAGTATTATTTATTATGTATTAAATATAAATTGCACCCAATTTTTTGGTTCCCCCTCATGTTACCTCCTCTGAGATTATTGCTATCAGCTCTTGTTCTCTGCAGTCTTCTCTGTGGCGTGCCTCCTGAGAAGAGGCCAGGACTGAGGGCGAGTTCTTGTTCTGGCTTGCAGCTGTCCCTGACTGTCTCCCTGAGGCCTCAGTATCCTAAGCTGTGAACCAAGAAAGTAGAGCTAGCACATCTCCAGGGACTTGTCCCACGCCTCAACTTCTTTTGCTCCTAGGGACAGTGCATTAGGCTATCGTTGAATTTCTGCGTGCTCCGTAATAGTTTCTGTGTGGGATAACCAGCACGGTAATTGCTGGCTGGTTAGGTTTTGGTGCTGTCACTCAACGATTCTCAGGAAACGTATTCATGATCTCTGCTTCCCTCTGCTCTGCATGCAGTCGGCCAGCTTTCCACTGCACAGTGGCTGAGGAGGCGTAAGGGAAGTGATGTAAGTGGAATGTTTTGAGGCCCCAGGAGGGATCTGAGTGCCTTTCCCATTAGAGAATAACAGAAAGTGACAGCTTAGCTCCATCACAGATTTACCTACAGGCATAAGTGTAACCCAAGAGACACTTTTCTATCTATTTCCCCAGTGGATTTTTAACTGAATGTAATTTCACACAGGACTCACCAGGTCTTGCTCCATTTAAAACCAAAGAGCCATCCCCTCGGATCTGCAAATTACAAGTAATTATAACATGTCTGGAGTCTTCATTACCTGCCTTGTGGCATCTATATACTTTTTTGGATTTGTACTTTTGTCAGCTGCTGCCAGGTGTTTTCTCATTTCTTCCCCACCCTCTAGTTGTTGCTTCTTGTGTGCTGCATATGTAATATATTTTCTTTAGTCCAGTGGTGGACACAGGTATATAAGCCTCTGTTTAATTCTGAGACTTGATGAGGAGACTTGCCAGCATTTCTCTTTCTCCTCTCATGTTCTATGTTGTGTACACTGAGTCTCTCGTCATGTGTCACAGTAATAATAATAGACTGCTGTGTTTAAGAAAATGTACAGAGTAAGTGTTATTTTTCTCCTTTAGGCAAATTTAGCGATTAACCCAGCGGCCTTGCTGCCTGCAGTGGCTCCCCAGATCTTGGGAATGAATCCTGCTTTGCCAGAATTGGCTTTTCCTTCATCTGAACCGGGGAGAACCCACAGTCTGGAAAGTATGCCCACTCTCCCTGGGAGTATGGAAGCTGGAGTGAGCTTTGATCTCCCAGCTCAGGCCGACACCTTGCACAGTGCAAACAAGGTGATGAAGCCACCTTTGTTCTCTTGCTTGCTTCTTTTTTTTTAAGCAGAACAACTTGTTTCTTCCTAGTCCATCAGCTACACACAAGAGACCGACTCCCCATTTGAAGGGGCACCTCATCCTTCTTTCAGCCTTCATGTTCTCCTTCCAGCTCCTTAATTCTACCCCACTCTTCACTGCCTGCATTTGTTATGTTTACCTGCCACTCAGTAACCACAGTGAAATCCTACCATCTCCAGGCTGTTGTCGCACGGCCACTGGGAGGTCTTCCAAACGCAGGGCAAATTGTGCCCCTCCTCTGCTGGCCCCTCACGAAGGAGGACATTTGAGCTCCTTGGCTTGGTGTTAAAGCCTTTATAATCTGTGCTAAGGCTTTCAGTTTCCCTACGAGTCACCCCACACTTTACACCTAAACCTGTCACACCAGACACTATTCTCTGAACACACACCCTGACCGGCTGCTGCCAGTGTCGGGAATGCCCTTCCTCATCACCACCTCTGCTCAGACTTCTCAGCTTCTGTGATATTTCCCCTCCCACCCCTCTGTCCTGTGTCTCTCCTCTGCAATCCCCGGCTAGTACAGTCCGCCACAGGACTGTTCACAGGACTGTGGACTGTAATCTCTGAGGTTTTGCTTTTGTTTTAGTTGGTTCTTTTTTTTTTTCTATCAAGCCTTACTTCTCTAGAAAGTCTTAGCTGATCTCTGAGTGACAGTACCTAGGGTAACCCTAGCAGATACAGTCAAGTGTTTGCAACCCTGTTTTCCTTGTGAAAAATAAAATATCCTTATTTTTGTTATTTTTTTTAGCTTAAGTTTAAATTGGCTACTTCTTAATATTATTTGTGAAATTTCCTTGAAATAGGCAAACACGGTACTTTGCCCAAAGTAACTTGTACCCTCTCAAAACTACTTGATTGTATATTTTAGAAAATACCACAAATACTGCATTGTTGCAATAGATGACTCCTATTTTGAGGTTATATTAAAAGTTCTGATTTTTAAGTCACAATTTTATGTGAAATCTTTACTATTTGAATTTATTGTTTGTTGACTTGAAGAAAAGAGCACCTTAGATGACATCTGTCTTTCTTTATTGTCTGTACCTCCTTGCTCCAGGTACCTGGTTTTAGGCTTGTCCCTAATGAAGGTTAGTACCAGAATTCCCCCAGATTCTTGTTTTGAAATATATTCACATTTAATCTGAGAGCAGATTACAGATCAGGGAAGGACACAAAACACCAATGTGCCTACTTTGCAGGGTTCCAGCAGCAGATGAAGTTTTTTGTATGAAATTGAACAGAAATTGCCCTCAAAAGACAAAAGATGAGGAACATGAAAGGATTAAGAATGATTTATTTGGGGAGTACTAGGATCTGTTAAACTTCTTTGCAAATGTTTAAGAAATAACCTCTTCTGTGTCTTAGATAATATCTTGATTAAGGAAGACCAGATAACCTTATAAAACTTTTAGTTGTTGATTATTTGCTATGTTAGCTTCGGACACTGTTTAAAAAATCATCAGACCAACATGGTCTTTTGCCATTGCAGAGCCGGGTGAAAGTGAGAGGAAAGCGCAGGCCACAGACTCGTGCAGCTCGGCGCTTGGCTGCACAGGAGTCCAGTGAGGCTGAGGACATGAGTGACCCCAGAGGATCCGCTGCTCAATTGGGAGAAGGTGCCATTTCGCCAGAGGGCCATCAGCCACAGCCCAGGACAGCTGGTGGAAAAGATAGCTCTGAGGATGCCATGGCAGCAACCACTTCAATTTGGACAGGTGGTCCAGTGCCTGGAGTGGACAGAAGCTCCTCTGCGAAATTTCTGGGTCAACCTCTTGGAGATGACCTTTTTGATTCTGGAGATACCTTTTCCAAAGGTACTGGATCTCAGTCCATGGGGAGAAGAAAAGCCAAGGCAAAGGCAGTTGACAGCCCAGCCAACCCGCCAGGGGGAAGTAAAGAAAAGAACCCCATGTTTGCTGCTCCGGGCCAGGCAGGTAGTGATGATGATCTCTTTCAGCCTGTTAAGCCAAAACCAGCAAAGAAAACAAATCCCTTCCCTCTCCTGGAAGATGAGGACGATCTCTTTCCAGATCAGAAAGCCAAGAAGAATGATTCAAAGTCCAACAGTCAGCAGGGTGTCATCTCAAAAGCACAAGATATTTTTGAGGTAATAGGATGTAACATATTCTTGTGCCTGGTTCTGTGTTAGGGAAAATGCCAGTTGGCTCAGTTGAGCCATAGATTACGTTAAGCTTGTTTCATTGCTGCCCAATATCTACTTGCTTAGTAATTATAATTAGGTTTCCTTATTAATATAGTAAGTCTGAAATTTACTCAGAAGTAGATTTTTATTTTGTTTCATGGTGATGGTAGTTCCTGGCTGGCCATAACATTGATACAGGTCTTGATTTTTAGAATTTTGTCAGAATGTTGCTTCTTTGGGAGGCCACTCTCTGACATACATTAAGCAGTATTGGTATAGCTTGAGTATTTAACCTCGGGTTTTTGGGGAAATGGGCCCTATCTGATGGTTGAGCACCAGCTGTAGGGCCTTCAGCGGCATTCTCTGGGCAAGTGTTCAGTGAGCAGCCAGGTCCTGGAGACACAGGTGAACTAGGACCAGTGCTCTGCTCCCCAGCGCTGTTAGGGAGGGGAGTCAGATACAGACAGGGAAACAGATAATACAGTGTTTTCAGATAATGTTAATTGCCATAAAGGAAACAACCCAGGGCAGAGTGATGGGTAAGGGTGGGAGGCTCTCCTTTAGGTAGAACTGGTAGAGAAGGCCTCTCTGTAGAGTTGGCATTTGAGCTGGGACTGAGACAAGGCATTGACACCCCCTCCAGTGTACAACCTGAGGTGCCTCACTCGTTACACAAGTAACAAGTGACTGGATTCTGCACCTACAGCTGGAGAAAAACAAGAACCAGTTTCATCCAGCTAGGCTGATCTCCTTGACTGGGACCTGACCTTTAGTTAATTATAGTGTCATTATAATCTCATTTGCATTGGGGTTACTACAGTGGGACCTTACCAAAACCTGCCCCCACCCCAGATGTATAAATAGCAACTCGCTCTCTTGAGTTCATTCGCACTTTCCAGTGTGTACTTCCATTTCAATAAACTCCATGTGCTTTCCTGTATCTGTCTCACTCTTGAATTCTTTCACGTGTGAAGACAAGAACCTGGTCACCGCTGCTCTGGGTTGAGTCCTTTTTTGGACATTCTTGTGAGCCTCCAGGGACAGGACTAGAAGAAAGAGAAAGACCTGGCCAGGCAGAGACCTGGTAGAGGGCATAGGTCATGTGGCTGTTCCAGAACACTGTGGCAGTTTGCATTTTTACAACTTGTTGAAATAAGTGTTTTTAGCAAAAAAAAAATTGATTTAATCCTGTTTTTCTTGGTTTTTGTCTTAACAAGGATGATATATTTGCTACAGAAGCAATTAAACCCTCACAAAAAACAAGAGAGAAGGAAAGAACATTTGAACCCAGCCTGTTTGATGATAACATTGATATCTTTGCCGATCTAACTGTAAAACCAAAAGAAAAGTCCAAAAAGAAAGTGGAAGCTAAGTCTATATTTGATGATGATATGGGTGAGTTTGATTTTCTAGATGTGTCTTGAAAGCCTTTTTTTTTTTTTGGCCTATTCAGCAACTCTTTTTCTTTCTTTTCTCTTTTTAAAGATGATATCTTCTCCTCTGGTATCCAGGTTAAGACAACAAAACCAAAAAGTCGACCTGCACAGGCAGCACCTGAACAGAGATCTGAGCAGAAGGTGCCCAACGTGTTTGATGACCCTTTGAATGCCTTTGGAGGCCAGTAGAGCGTTCAGGGTGTCACATCTCGCCCTTCAGCTACATCCTTGCATTAATGATGCTGTCTTATGCGTTCATTGTCTTCACTGAATTGTAAAAAGGAAATAGTGAAACAGCGCACTCACCTTTTACCAGACGCACTTAGTATTTTTCTGCATTGGTTTTAATCATGCTTAATATTGAAAAACAAAAATAAATGTTTCACAGTGCTTTTTTTGTTTGTTTTTTACTATATTTTGATTTAATCATTTCACCTTGGTAGAGCCACAATATAATTTAGGGCATATTAAAGAAGAAACGTATTTGTGCATTTTATGGGTGGATAAGGAGTCCTAGAGGTAGCAGATGACAGATAGATGACCAGGGGTCTTCCTCACATGGACAAGGAACCTCATATTGGTTAGACCCTGGGCAGGTGATAGAGAGATTATCAACTGCAGGAGTCTTTGCAATAGGAGAGCAGATTTCTCTGATACCCCTAATTCTGAAAATGCCTCTCCAGGTCCACTAAGGTAGGTTTTGACAAACTGTGGCCCTCCACTGTTTTTGAAAATAAAGTTTTATTGGAACACAACCATACCCCTTTATTTACATATTGTCTGTGGCTGTTTTCACCCTACATATAGTATGGGAGTTGAGTAGTTGTGACTACATGGCTCACAAAGCCTAAGATATTTTCTCTCTGGCCCTTTACAGAAATACCTTGCTGATCCTTGATCTAAGGCATCCATTTCCATTCCTTGGAGCTTAGCATTGTTTTGTGAAAGAGACATAATGAACCTAGGTGATGGTAGGGAGAAGTCCTGAGGATGGAGATGTCAGCCTCCAGAGCAGCTCTGTTCTGTAGACCTCTGCACTATGGGAGTGTACTGTAATGGTGTTGTCCAATGTGGTAGCCACTAGCCACATGGATGGCTGAGCCTCCTTCTAGTGTGTTTTCCTGTGCTGAGGAGTCAATCTGTAACCAATCTTATAGGCAGATCCGGTTGGCTTCACCAATCCTGAAGCCACTAACTTTTTCCTTGGGCACTTTTAAGATGGAACTAAGAATTGTTCATACTGAGTCAAAGATTTTGTACAGCTCCCACAGATCAGCTGTTCGCCCTGCTCTGCTGTGAGAGTGACCTTATGATGTAAGAGGGTGCTTACTAGTTGTCTGCTCTTTTCCCTTTTGTGCATCTACCTTCTGTTCCTTGGGTTACTTGTGTACATAGTTTCCTGCTCCCACTGGTGTCTGACTCAGTAAGCATCTGTTAAACAGGTTTTTCTTTTGGAGCTATTGAATCTACTGATCTGTCATTAGGATTGATTCCAGGGAATTCAGGAGAGTTAGAAATATACAGTTAGAAAATATGCAAATTGCTATTTTTGAGAGGTTTGAAAGGGGAACTTACACTCATTAGCCCTGTGGTAGACACTTTCATTGTTATTTTATTCAGTCTCCATAACTCTACCAGATATGTAAGGTCCTCGTTTTAAAGGTAAGGCTAAAATCTGGAAGCAAGGTAAAATAGTGGAACAGGTTGGATTTTCATTTTGAGACCTAGATTAAAATCTGGTTCTCCCACTTAGAGCTGTTTGAGTGTAGACAAATTATTTTCCTTTCTTAGCTTTTGTTTGTCAGATAGAGGTTTCAGTATGAACCTTGCAGGATCATTATAAGGGTAGAGAATATACTAAACGCAAGAAGAGGGGGATCTGTTTAAGGCAGGCCAGCCCGGAACACACTAGTGAAGTAGGATTTTTTCATGTGTGTGTGTGTATTCCTGGGATCATGATCTCGTAGCTTCGTAGCACTGAAGAATGGAGATATGGACCAGAGAGGTAGTTTGCAGCAGAGGACAATATATTAGAGCAGAAAATGACAGCTCTCAAAACGAGAGAGGGTCCCAACTGGGGTGCCCACTAGTTAGAGCTAAGGATTTGTTTTTATACCTTTAGTATGTCTGGGGAGAGGGGCTGGCTGGCGCCTTTTGGCACTGTATTTGCTGTTCAGCCCAGAGGAGGTGTTTTCTGGAAACTGCCTAGTTTCCTTAGGGCTTAATCAGCTTAATCATTGTCTCTGTTCTGAGAGGAGCATGTTAGCTGAGACTGTGGCTTTGAAGATAGGAGTCCTGTCTATGTTGTTATGTTAAATAACCTCTTTGAAGATATGCATTCTACCTGAGGACCCCTTATTTGGAAAAAGGCCTCCCTCCTCCCCCACCTGGGCTTGTCACTCTGGCGGATCCTGTGACTTAAACCTATCTGTCAGCTAATACAATTATTTCCTCTGGCTCTGTTATGGTTTCCGCCCTGATTCCCTCCACCGTGGCAATTCCCTGACTACCTATAATTTTTGCTATCTCACTAGGAGCACACATCTACTGGCCTGCCTGGGACCTTCCTTACCCCCGCATGTGGGGTACCCATAAGAGCGCCCTAGGTTATGTAGGTCTCAGGAAAGGTGCTGTTCGCACCCTCGTGGGGCCACAGGCCAACCCCTCGGTTCCCTGCAAGGCTGGGCGGCTCGTCTCCAGCTTGCCCACCTGGGCCCTAGTCAGGTGTCCACTGTTAATAATAAAGGATCAACATCCGGGACACTCCTAACCGACGCTACCGCCGAACGAAAAGAAAGCTCCGGCGCCCCGGCAACCGCGACGTGAGCGGCGGCGAGCGATTGGCGCGCGGTGTCACAAAGGGGCGGGGCACTGCCGCGGAGAGCTCCTCGCCAGTACAAGCCGCGGCGTCCCCCGCGGAACTGCGCGTCGTTGTAGGCCTGCGGACTAGCGAGCGAGCGAGCCGTCCAGACAGCCGGTGAGGGCGAGCGCGCCGGATGGGGTGGGCGCCCGGGGCGGGTCGCTGAGCGGAGCCGCGCTGCCGCCGCGGGCCAGAGAGGAGCGCAGGCCTCTGGGCGCCGGGCAGCCGGACCGCGCCCCCTCCGCCGCCCCTCGCTGTGCTCGCCGCGGTTGCACCGAGACCGGTGCGGCGGGCTGTCTTCGCTGAGGACACAGCCTCCATTCTCCGTCACTCCGCGAGCGGAACACTCCCCGCCGGATGGGCGCTGCTCTCTGAGTCGCCGATTCCGACGCGGAGCCTGATCGCTGTCCTCCAGGTCAGGCCCCTGCGTCTGCGGAGATGGCATTTCTCTTGGAGGAGCACGGGCTGCGCAGTGGCCTTCAGGTGCCTGTACATTGATGGCTCGAGTAGACATTGGCTCCGAAGGAGAGTCGAGGGTACATTTGCACGGTGTGATAATATAATTTCTGTAGCTTTTAATTAAAACTTAGGGGCATTTTCACACATTAGTAAAAACAGTTCATTAATAGTCACTATTTTAAATTGCTGCATATTGTTCTGGATATCTTTAGGTTGTGGGAAAAGTTTAGAAGGTAATTGCTCTTATGTAGCTAATATTCCTTACAATGCAGGATAAAGCTGATCCTAAGTTACTGAAACTACTGATTCCGAGAGCTATTATTGCTTTACCTGTCTTTAACTTCCCTTTCATCTTTGGTGGTTGTGTTTTAGAACTTTTTCAGAAGAAAGGAGAGAAATGTTTTGGGAGTAGATTTAGAAATCTGTTTTGATGCCATTACTCTTAATAGCTAAGTATGTTTTTTAAATTATTGGTAAAATAATTTGCTTTTGCTCGGGCCTCTGGTCCCGGCTGGATGGGCAAGTATCACTGCCAGGAAGCTCCGGAGCCACCGAGGAAATCAGAAGTGGCATGATAAACAGTACAAGAAAGCCCATTTGGGCACAGCCCTGAAGGCCAACCCTTTTGGAGGCGCTTCCCATGCAAAGGGAATGGTGCTGGAAAAAGTTGGGTTGAAGCCAAACAGCCAGATTCTGCCATCTTGTGTGTCAGAGTCCAGCTAATCAAGAATGGCAAAAAAATCACCTCCTTTGTAGCCAGTGATGGTTGTTTCAATTTTATTGAGGGAAATGAAGTTCTGGTTGCTGGATTTGGTTGCAAAGGTCATGCTGTTGATGACATGTCTTAGTGCGCAGTAAGGTTGTCAAAGTACCCAGTAGCTGTCTTTTGGTCTTATACAAAGGCAAGAAGGAACGATGGAGATCATAAGTTTTAATGGTGAAAACACAGTAGTAATACATTTTCATATGCAAAAAAGAAAAAAATCCTTTAAGTACTTTTTTTCTTAGTCTTCCTTTACTATTCCTCTTCTACTTTTTGGCTGTTCTTGTTCTTGCATCATTTCCCATCCTGTCTTTGAGTCTTAAGTGCCCCTGCTTTCCACCATCATAGGGTTTCATACTATTCTACATCGAGCATGACCCCACAGCACTTTTGGAAACTGTCCATGGTCCCTGCTTTTAATATTAGCTAATCTTTGGTCCGCTGAGCTTTCATTTGCCTCTCTCTACCATCATCTTGTCCTCCAGTCAGTTTAACAAGATTTACTGGCTGCATTTTGTCCTCTGTTACAGTGATTTCTACTGCTGAGAAGCATAACTATTCCCTTGAGGTATACATTTCAGTTTTGAATTTGGTTACCAACCTTGCTTGTTTTCAGATGGTGGAAGTTACCCATTGATTAGAGCTCAAACTTATGGTGGGTGTTCACAGTTAGTGCTGTGCTAGGTTGCTGTTTTTCTTTTAGCCCATGGTTTACCCATTCTTATTATAGATGAAGGACTTGGAAATCTGTCTTTGTTACCTTCTCCCACCTCCAGCTTGTTTATTATATTTAGGATATTGCTGTGGAAGAGTATTGTGGTATGCTCCTTAGATTTTCTGTGTCCAAATTCCTTGGTCAGGCACTTGTCACCCACATCTTTATTTTTTTAATGGTTATTTTGGCATTCCTGACCCCTGACTTCTGTTGCTAGAGCTGCTGCTATGTGGGTAGGAGCACTGTTGGCTTTGGGAGAGCAGATACTGATTATTCTGTAGTACATTCTTATTTGATATAACATGATAAGTACATTCTTAAGAATCCACATGTTATCCAAAATTACAAAATTACACTGTAAAAGCAGTTGTTTCAGTGAGGCGGGATGGGTGTGGGGAGTGTCAGAGGTTAGCTCATACAAAGTCATTTTTCCTACATGCATTTTAATGTGTTAAAGATATAAAAAAAACCAAAACCTGAGCAATACAGCCATTTATTTGGCTTTTATTTAAGCGCAGTGGCCTTTTACTACTATCAATAGCAGTATTATTAGCATGGTACTTTGTATTATTATATTTATTGCTCATTATTTTGGTAAGTAGTATAACAGCACTCAGAGCAGCTGTGCTGCCAGCAACAACTTTTCTTCCTGTGATGCCATCTTTTTAGGACCATTAGCAGTTTCCACAATGCAATTCAGCTTCCTAATTAATTAATTATACTTCCAATTAGTATTATAAGGTTCATGTGGTAGCAGAAATCCCTGTATATGTATGTATGTTATGAGTTGGGTAAACTTTGTTGGACTTAGTTTGGAGTGAAGCATAACATGATTCCCATGGGAAACCAACATCCCTCCAAAAAAACTTTTGGAGCATAACCAAACATTCCTTCATCTCTAAAACAGGGATAATAGCTTATCTATATCAGCTTTGTTCTAAGGATCAATTGAGAAAATGAATATTTACTTACTCTTTCATGAACAAACCTTTAATGAGGACCAATATGTACAAAACACTGTGCCAGGTGATGGGCGGTAAGTCAGATGTGGTCCCTCCCTTAAGTAACTCACAGTTTAGTAGAATAAGAAGGCCATGTAAAAATGAAATTCATTGTAATAGCTGCAGTATGTGATGGCGGTAGGGGGGTGCAAAGGAAAGTAACCATGAAAGGCTTTGTGGGATAGTTGCTATTTGAGCTGAATCTTGAAAAGTGATTAGGTGCTTGTCAGGTAGCCAAGTGTGGTGCTGGCAGTGAGCAGAGGAAAGCAGGAGGGCCGATGTAGGAGCTGATGTGTTCCAAAGCTGCAGGTGCAAATAATTAGAGGACAGAGGTACTACAGGTGTTGCAGGGTGGGATGAGGCGTGTGTATAAATAAAAAGAGGCTGGAAGGTGAGACGCATGATCTGAGGACCTTTTCTAAGGAGTCTGAATTTTATTCTATAGATAGTAGGAAGCCATTGTAGGGCCTTGAACTAAGAAATAACATGATCAGCTATACATTTTAAAAAGCTAACTGTGCTTCACATCATGAGTGATTAAGGAAATGAAAGTTAAAACAGATACCGCTACATGCCTATTAGAATGGCCCAAATCCAGAACACTGATGTCATCAGATGCTGGCAAGGGTACAACAGGAACTGTCACTCAGTTGCTGGCGGCCACTTTGTAAGACACTTCAGCAGTTCTTACAAAACTAAATATACTCTTCCCACAAGATCCAGCAGTTGCTCTCCTTGTTATTTACCCAAAAGAGTTGAAAACTCATTTTTGCACAGAAACCTGCACACAGATATTCATAGCAGCTTTATTCATTGTTGCCAAACCTTGGAAGCAACCAAGATATGTCCTTCAGTACGTGAATGTATAAATAATCTGTAGTACATTCAAACAATAGAATATTATTTAGTATTACAAAGAAATGAGCTCTCACTCCATGAAAAGACATGGAGGAAATTTAAATGCATATTACTATATGAAAAGTAAACCTGAAAATGCTACATACTATATGATTCCAAGTATTTGAAAGTCTGGAAAAGACAAAACTATGGGGATGGTAAAAAGATCAATGGTTGCCAAGGAGTTGGGTGGGGGTGGGGAATGAATAGGCAGAGCACAGAGGAATCTTAGGGCATTGCACCTATTCTGTGTGATATTCTAATGGTATATGACATTACATGACATTACACATTTGTGAAAACCCACAGAATGTGCAACACCAGGAGTGACCCGTAACATAAAGTATGGATTTTGGGGGATAATGATACGTCACTGTAGGTTCATCGATTGGAACAGATACACGGCTCTGGTGCAGCATGTTGGCGGTAGGGAAGTTGTGTGTGTATGAGGGCAGGGAGTGTATGGGAACTCTACTGTCTGTTCAGTTTTGCTCTGAGCCTAAACTGCTGTAAAAAATAGTCTATTTAAAAGCGGGGGGGGGAATCAGGCTTTAGACTAACTCAGAGTCATGTCTGTCATTTACTTTGAATAGCTGGTTTCACAGCAGTGCATTCTGAAGTGAAATATAAATTAATTTTAGAACTTTGACCTCTCCCCTTGCTTAAACATAGTTAATTGAGAGTAAAATAATTTCTGAACTATGTGATATGATACCCTAATCCAGTGTTCGTTAAACTGCCTTAAAATAAAAAAAGATAACTGTTGGCATCATAGAGAATGGATTGGAAGAGTGAAGTGCAGGATCAAGGTTTATAGCTAGGCTATCAAAATTGCTCGGTTGAGAGCTAATGAAGGCCTGAACTAAGTCTTAATCATTGTGGTTGGAGAAGGTGACAGATTATAGAAATATTAAGAAGTTGTACTGTCAGGATTGGTCACTTCTATATATCTTAGGGATAGAGGAAAAATCTAAAATGATTCAAGATTTCTAGCTTGAGTCACTGTATTAATGGTGATATTGATCTAGAGGGAGACTGTAGGACAAGAAGGAGGTTTGTATGGAAGATGATTAGTTTTGGATATGGTGGATTTCAGGTGTCTGTCTAAGGTCAAGACTTCAGATGCTTATGGAATATCATGCTTCTAGAATGGAGATGTAGGTTATTAATCAAAACACAGTCTTTTAAAAGTAAATCTTCCTTTAAACACACTGCTATGAAATTATAGTAACTTCAGTGATATATCCTTTGGCAAAAAAAAAAGGTAAAAAATTTATCACCC